GAGCCTCTGTGGTGGTGTGTGGGAATGAGGGGCAGATCAGGAATATGAAGAAAGTGTGTAGAATGTGTAGTGTTTTTTTCTAGTACAGGACGTTGCTGTAAACCTACTACATACAGAGAAATCAGTGTCAATCAGAAGTGTAGTAAGAAGAAAGTGGGTGTTGGAAATGACCAAAAAAAGGCATGGATAGGAGAGTAATTATTATACTAGCAATCATGTCAGCGAGCTAAATGCAAGTGTCTGTTGATAGAAAACAACTGTTAGCCCAGAAGTTGCAATATGATGGAACTTAAAAGCTTAATCAGATCCTTGTCAGGGGGGTGAAGCAGCCTAATAACCTGACTGTGTACTGAAAAAGGAAAGATCTGGAGGGGGAATTTGAAGATGTGTGGGGGTTCACACCATCACACAGCTCAAGACTGTCTCATACGCTTCTGTGAACAGAAACGGCAGGAAACCTCAGGCATAGGGGCACAGAGATTCTGTGAAATTAACACTACAGAAACCTTGCGTTTGGCAGAATGGTTTAGAGATATTAAATGATGGCTAAAACTAGCAGATGGAAGCGAGAGGCAGTCCCATTTAGATATCTGACCTTCAGAAGCCGCCTATGAAACAAATGAATAAGGGTTTTCTGACAGCTGAATATAACGTACTGTATATTTTTAAAATGGGTTGAAAGATTAAAAATCATAAAACTCAAAAGAGATAGAAGTCTATTGTTGTTGGAAACAGGGGTTGGGATAATAAGTCCGACCTTCTCTGTCTTTCTTGAGTCCATTGCTGAGGTGTGGGGCTAGACTGACGAGCAGCAGACTCCAGAAGGCTCTCATGCTCACAGCGGTGTCCGAAGTCACTGTCCAGGATCTGGGAAGGAAACTCCCATGAGGAGAATGAATACACAAGAACAGAGAAAAGGCACTGATGTGCCAGGAACACAAATTAAGTGTAATCTGATGCAATCTGAGCTTGGAAAAGATTTTCTATTCTGGAACTAATGTACAATCATTTCTAAACTACTCTGGATTAATTTATAGCGGATTAAATAATTTGCACTACAGGGAAATTTTTATGAGGCTCGCTAAGTCCTATCAAAATCAAAAGGAAACATTAAGGAAGTAATTTTCCTTCAATTACCTCTCACGCCTTTCAGGTGTCCTCCACCTCAAAGTTAGAAGACTGAATTCTCAGATCGATGTGTCTGTCCCCAGCCCCCTGCTCCTGCATTAATGAGGTTTACTGCTGGCTTTCTGAGCTCAGGCTGCAAGGAGAAGCTCTAGGCTGCATTTGGCTTGACATGCCCACATGCAAGTGATATACAAATGTTTACAAAGATGTGAGTCAGAATGCATTACTGCCAATAATGGAAATCATTGTTCTAGCCAACAGAACAGCAGAGCCACCAAGCAAATTCAAATACAATTTGGAAATCTACATGAAGATTATTTGTTTATATTTGGAGATCATCAACAGAAACTGAGCCCACATCTGAAAGAAGTCATGTGCTTTGAAAGTTTACTTAATAACACCTGTCAGGATTAAAAAGCATGTGATGATGGAGATCAGGGACTCCAGGATTCTCCTTGAACTGAATCAGACAAGTTGTAATTAGAACCAAGCCAAGTACATACAGCAGGGCTCCAGAAATCACAGGTACCAGCGTTGGTCAGTGCCACACGAGATTTGAATTCTCTTTCTTCACAGACTTGGAGAATGATGTCACTGCAGTTTCTTAGCCTGAGACCTGTCACACCAACTGACTGTCACATGGCTACAGTATATTACTTGTACTGTAGCACAAAAAGGAAAGGAAAGCCAGCAGCTATTCAGGCTTCAGTGATTAAAAGTGAAAAAAGAAAGTGGACAGACTCACACCTGTGTAAATAACCTGTTACTTGGACAGGCTAAAAGAAACTGACTCAAGTATTCCAAATGTTGCACTGACAGTCAACCCAGTGGCATTCTTCAGAATCAAATGTGAAACGCAAACCTGATGACACAAGTAGAAACTGCAGAGTGGTGCATTTTAAACCAAGAACAGGAGGCATTTTATCCACATTGTTGCTGGATTATGGAACAAGCTACCCAGCCAGGTAGCTGATATGCTGGAGCCGATAGGCTGGCTTCTTTCAAGAAATGGCTGGATGAGATGCAGGAGTCAATTAACAACTACCAAAGGGGCCAGATGGGCTACACGGCCTCTCATTTATAACCATTATGTTCTTAGCGTCATTCTTCATGCAGTTTATCTCTATATTTCTAACTTAAAATGTGCTTTTACTTTTCTAAGTATGTACATAGTCTAGACATATTAAAAATAGTCAGAACATACAATTTCTGCCATTCTTTATTTCAGCAATATTTTACAATCTGATCCAATACAGATATTGGACACTAATAGCAATACCAGGGCTTGTACCCTGAACAGTTTATACCTTGGCTATATGCCTTGAAGTATTCAAAGTGGACACTTTTAATCCCTTATATTGGCTAGCAGAGGTTATGCCTTCCTGCGTTATAAAACTACACCCTTCTGATATAATGCTACCCTTTCGATTACATCAGACACACGAGTCTCTTGTCACCTGGTTAAAACATACCCAGAACTGTATCTTGCACCTTGCTTAATGTTTCTCCATGTAAATCCAAATCACTGCTTGGAAAATCACATTTTTACATAGGGACAATATTATAAAGTACATTATTATTTTACTATGCCCTAGTTTGAGGTGCTTCAGCAAAGTAAAAAATCATCTTTAATGAAAGTATAGAAGTCTTGGGGGGTGCAATGCAGACGGTGATTCAAACGAAGGGAAGGCAGCAGTGTGGGAGAACCACTGTCGGAGGGGCCCATGGTCTCTGGGCTGCTTTGAGCCGAGGGCTTGAGCTGCAGGGTTCAGTTAATGGTGAGGACATCACTCTGTATCTCATGGCTCAGCTGGGTCTGCAGATCGCTCAGCTTTTTCTTGAGGACAGCCAAGGCGGACATGACTATAGTCTCTGGTCGCAGAGAACCACATGACTCCACATTGTAGTAGAACCTTGGGGAAACAGAAAAAAGTCAACACTTGGCACCCACGTCAACACCATTAATAGGCCAGGGTGCCTCATATACTGGACACTCACTGGCCACAACATTAGGAATCCTCCGTCAAATCAATGGGCAACAGTGGACGGCACTGCGAGGTCACCTCCAGGACCAGGAAGCACACATTAATCATTTTACCAGAACACAAAAATCACCAGATCTCAATCCTACTTAAACCGGGAGAACGTGCAGTTCACTCCCACACTTCTCCATTCATCACAATCTCAAACAAAGCCATAGTTACAAAACTCATGAATATTACTGTTACCTATACATTTATGCATACTGCCCATACTTCTATTTTATATTGCTACTTTCAACTGTAGCTGGCACACATGCTATTGTTCTATGTTTCTGCCTCTAACAAATTTGATGTCATTTGTTATGCGAGTACACAGGCAAGTAAGCTTTTCATTGTACTCAGGTACATATGACAGTCAACTTGTAACTTGATACAATGATTGACAGAACTTTTGAGCAGAGAATTAAGAGCTTAAGTGGTAGGCTCTTACAGCGACTGTACTGGACAACATAATCAAGAGCGTTAATGCACCTCCACCGCTGAAGAAGACACCTCCAGTAGCTGGTTTCTCCCAGTGTGACACTCACCTCTCCGGTTTTCCATTGGGATCATAGGGTGCCTGTACCTCTTCCTCATCAATCTCCGAGTATTCACTCTTCGGCCTGAAGAAGAACCCAACAACAAAAGGTATAAGAAAAGGGGAAACCTAAGAATCTGACATCTCAATAATCCACACAAAGAAACCAGCCACACAATGTCTTAGTTTGTCTTCAGCTTGTGCAAAGCATACCATTCCTCTGGGCGGGGGTAGACGGTGTGCCTCAGTGCATTGTCCGGATCGTACTCAAAGGACACCCCCGCAGTGGGGTTCCACTTGGCGTGCTCCTTGCCAAAGCCCTTCTTGGCATAGGCTCTGAGTCGGAGCTCCTGGCCCTTGCGCAGTTTCACCAGCAGGATATCTCAACACAGACAGGAGGGGTGGGGGTTAGTCCGGGCACTGCGATGTAGCAGTGAAACGTGATATGAAATGTGATACTGTCAAAATAAAAACATGACAAAGAGTCTGCCAGAAAGCTTTGCAAATAACACCGTTAGTTGGACACAGACGTGTAAGAGGATTAAACAACTAGAACACCTGGGGAATCTTTGAAGGAAGATATTGTCAATGCTTCCATGAGTTTTTTTAAATTTGAAAAATTTGAAAAAAAACTGAGCTAGGTAAAGACTAAACCACTGCTTCACATGAGCAACAATATGAGTGATGGACAGAAAAGGACAGAAGAAATGACAAAACATGGCCAATCATGGTGACGTTTTGGCCATTCCGCCAACTGACAAGTGTATCAACTCTTACCATCTTGTTCAACATAATCGTTAGGATCATTGTCCCGGCTCCGTGAGGTTACCTAAAGAGACAAGAAGGCTGTTACTTTTAAATCAGAAAACCGGTATCTCATAAATATTATTTCACACAACCAATTTCCATGAATAGTTCTTTTACGAACAACTACTGCAGGACACTCAATGAATTAATGTGATGAAGGAGTACTGGGCAAATTAATTCATTTGTAATATTGCATATCAACACTAGCTAGTTATGAGTTTAAAGTCCAAGGAATTGCAACAATTACATGCAAGGGATGTGTTCCTGAGGCTGCCAGCACTTGCAGCTAGTAACAAATTGCTCTTCTCTCATCTATAACATTTAATAGGTGCCTGAATCTCCAGGGCAAATGACAAACTCAACGATACCGTGTATACCTATGATGGACAGACGCTGCTGCCCAGTTGATTTTGTCCACATGAAGAACCGTAAATTTAAGCACCTTACTTCTCTTATGTAGCCCCAAATAGCTCACTATTATGAACGTAAAGCCTCTTGCTATTTCCAAACTCACATCTCAGCCAAAGCGATGAAGGTCCACTGCAATCGGTCGGACGTATGAGGGGTAAAGACAGTGTGGGGTTCTGGGCGACTCACCGGAATGACCCTGGGGTTGTTGGAGAGGAGATCCCGGGACGTGACGTGGCGCGTCTGGTCCTCTGTGCACCGCACGTCCAGAGTCAGCTCCACGGAGCACTCTGGGCAGAACTCGTCGCACGTGCAGTCCTGAGGGGAGGAAGGGTCATTCTCTGACCGGCACGCCCCCGCAAGACGACACCGGGACCGTGACAGCCTGTGCTCCTGCCCCCCCTCCCAATCCCATTCTTTTTACATCCACCTTTTGCGCTTTTAAGTGTCCAATAAGGCAATGACAGATTATAAATTATACAAAGAAAGACATTCTTGAAAATAGTTTCAAGAAAGAAGTCATAAAAAAAAAGAGTACCAGTAATAGGTTTATTCCATGCTGAAAAAAAGAAGAAAGAAAACACATCGTTTCAGCCATGGAGCCTCCACAGCCGAGACGTTGCATTTTCTTTCTTCTTTTTTCAACATGCAATAAGCCTATTACTTGTTCCTTTGCAGCCTACGCATGCTGACGCAGCTACGCACATGAAATAAAAAAAGCGTACTGCCATTCAAGTGACCTAAAGTAATAGCAATGGGGCTATTTGGGTTTGTCACTGGGTTAAGGCTCTTCTGCATCTTCAAGTAGACATTCTCTATAATGCAGCCTCCAGGATTTCTCAAGGCACTGAAATTCCTATCGTAACAAAATTCCAACAGCACATTTTTTTTTGTCTTCTTTGGATCACGAATTTCCTTTCTCCAGAAAACACTTCCTTGCAGTTTTTATATAGATGCTTATGAGTTAAAAATAATGACTTAGCTACATGGATGAAGCTGCAAAACATGAGACCCTACCCTTGAATACTGCATCTTATCCACAATGTCATCACTGGTGAGGGGAATCAGACCTGAAAAGAACAGCAAAAAATAAATAGCTTGTGCTTTGGTGCATAACGCTTTTTTAAGTCATTTTGTAACAGCCAACTAGCCATTAACCCAATCGAAAACACCTATACTAAAGAGCTGATGAACCTAGGTGTTTACTCACTAAAAAACTGTGGTAGATCCAGGAAAAAAAAATGCCATCAGCACCACAGGAAAACAAAGAAACTTCCCTGTGCTTGTACACATCCACTTTTATTAGTGTTTGCTTTAGCATGAAAGTGTCATTTATAATGTCTCCAGCCCCAAGGCCATAAGCATGTACAGTACTATCTATTCAACTACAAAACAAGAAACATGCAAAAACATTCCACAGATCTAATTTGCATGTTCTTTTTCACAAGCTGCACTTTCTTCCTGACGGCTCATGCTTTGTAAACTTGAGGATATTTTTTCCCATATGAAAACATACAGGAGATACTGGTATTAAGAATTTTACTCTACCTAAATTGATTACCAAAACATGGTGAGTGTGGATATGCAGCTGTGAGGGAATATTTGTTCTCCAAAACCAATTAAGCTAAGTGAACAGGAAATAAACACAAGCTGGTGACAGCCATTGAACTCACCCACTCTGTGGGCAATGAACTCATCGTGGAGGACAGAGGAGTTGGCATCAATCTGGACCCAGTCAATAGCTGTAGAAGAAAATTAAAAACCAAGCAGAAGTCAATAAATCAAACTCACATACACAAATGATTTTCTTGTGACCGTGTGTTGCTGGATAAGAAAATACAGGCAAGCGTCTTTAAATCATCACACACAAAGTATTCTTTACCTATTGTCGGGACTTCAGCCATGAACACCCGCCGAATGGAGTTTGCCACTCTGAAATATTCAGAAAATAAAAAGTAGTATTACACAGTAAATAAGGCAAGATACAAGAAACAATCACAGGGCTTAGGATGTCCTCTGAATTATCCACCGTTGCTGGACAGATTAAAGCTGCTAGATTTGCTACTTAACATATACAGGCTGAGAAAGCTGATAATACTAAGCCTAATGATGATGATAAAAAAAAATTACATACACCCATATAGCACTTTTCTGGACACTCCACTCATTACACTTTACAGGTAATGACCAAGGAGAGTCAGCTCTGAAACTAAAGTTACGTGCATTTATATACTGTGAGCTGTGAAATACAAAGGAGTCAGTGAACCATAATCAATGCATCTAAAGGTGAAGTAGGAGATGAAAGACAAGCAAAAACATACAATAGTGAGCGAAAAAGATGGACATAGAGATGCATTCAAAAATAAAATGGCTAAACTTTATCTGGAAATTCAGTCTTAAACAGTAAAGAAATGGGCTACAGTACAGGCTGAACCAAAAAATAGCAGTAAAGCAATGGGTTGCTTTAAAGAAGGATGATTATCTCCCTCTTCCTAAAGCTGGGGAAACAAACAACCACACCATCTCTTACGTACCACCTTCTAGGGTGAAATAATGTTCAAAGTAGCAGATCACTTAAATAGGGACACTTGAATAAACCATATTCGTTACACTTTATAAATTAGCTAACAACGTTGTTAAAGACCGAGAGCTCGACAATGCAAGTTGACACATAAGATAAGACCGTCTAGTCTGATGATCTGTTTTCATTTTACGGTTTCTATGGCTGAATATCTAATTAAAGCTACGTTTTTTTTTCTCATGTGAATTCTTGGAGGATAAGACAGAATCCTAAACGAACGTACAAATAGAACAACTGATCAGTCTTCATCTCAACCAAAAGATGAAATAGTTGCTAAACAGCATACCATATACACTGCTACCAAACTACTAAAAATAAAAAGAATAAAGAACCAAAACTACAAAATAAAGATTTAGCTACAGTTGTTTTAATTTAAATTACTATTGTGCTATAGTAACAAAACCCATGTGAGTGTTTATTGGATACTCACGCCAAATCGGTGTTCTCTATAACAAATTTCACATTCTCGTCCGTAAGTTCTGTAATTTTTACTGTCGGTTGATTGGCATACGGCATGGCAGCGTCCCGCTAAAGTGTAAACTGTTTTAAAGACAATTAAAACTAGTCACAACTCACGAACTCTCTGTAACGAAACTATTCCCATCCACTCGCCGCCTGAATTAAGGCGGGACTTCCGGTCGGTCGGGGTGTTTGACACGGAAGAGTTTCGAATAGCCAATCGCAGGCTGCTCAGAGGATCACTATATAAACAAATTACTACTAATTATCGCTCCTTACGGTAAAAAGCATATTAAGGCGCCCCCCCCATGATTCCATGAGAAAATGTTGTGTTGTCCAGCTTTCTTAAAGGGAGAACACCACTTTGACCACGTCTTCTTTTAGAGCATATTTTGTATGCAAGTTGGACCTCCTCCTTTTTAAAAGGGACAAGGGACACCACGCTGTGTCCTGGATTCATTTTAAGGAGATAATGTAGCCTTTTTGTATACTGTATATGTAATTAATATATAAGACCACAACACAAATTTTCATTGCTAGGATTCTAGGTGTATCATTCTGCAGCCGTGCAGTCATTGATGCTGTACAAAAAGGCATAATTTCAATTCTTTGTGTCACATTGCCCACCTGGAAGCAAGACATTTGCGTCAGACTTAGCCCTCACATCAGAATTTAGTACTTTCATCAAACTGTCAAAATATACAGACATTTAAAATTCTTGGTGATGAGGTAATCCAGCACATGGGTACATTATTGCAATAATTTAAAAGCTGCTTCAAATCTACTGCTTTGACACAAGGGGCAGCCTACATGTGTAACTGTGCTGTAATAGATATTGAACACAACACATGAACAGCAGCAAAAAGCTCAACGCTCATGCAAAGATCATTTCTGTACTCAGATTAATGTTTTGACCTGTCACAGTCGAGCTACTTAACAAAAGAGTCAACAGCCCTCAAACACCATTCATAACATTTATTTAAGAATCTCAATGATCTCAACAAAAAAAGGGACATTCACTCTTATACCGTTCTTCTTTTTCACAGCTGGGAGGGGGTTCTAAAGAAGAAGCGCAGAAAATAAGCCACTTGCGTCCATCGGGTTTCAGATCAAAGTGACTATGAACCAGTATATGGCACATAAATTAAGAGCATAAGAGCATTTTGTCTTTGCTCATGGGCTTGAGTGTAACACCAGATCGATGTATAGTTTGAAACAAAATGCAGGCTTCAGAATTCAGATTCATCCCTCCAAGGCAGGATTTTAGCACTGACTGGAAGCTCACAAGAAAAAAAAAAAGAGAAGTATGAAAACATCCATATTGTTATTGTCAAATTCAGGAAGAAGGAAGGGAACAACAGGGCTGCTTTGGGTTGTGCTCACAATGAAAAAGGGCCCCTTTTCAAATGAGAAACTAAAAACAAAACGATATGAATCTCTTTTGTTTATTTCTACATTTCAGTTTTGTGGAAGGAGCTCTGACTGAAAACATTCAAACGTCAGATGACAAAGAAACCTTTATGTTTCAGTCCATCTCGAAGTGGACTGACTGTTGAGGGTGGTGAGGCAGCGTGTATGGTAATACTGCGGATTTTAAGACCTTGTCAGAGGTGCACTAGGAGAGAGAAGGGAGTGGGCTTGTGTGGTGAGGAGGGGGCCTGTGATGATCAGCAGGAGCGCAGGAGTGTGTTGTGCTGGTTCCTGGACAGGGGAGAGGACAGTCGTCTGTCAGTGTGTGCACGGGCTGAGCTGGGGAGAGGGATGAGCCGTTCTGATGGGCAGGGCCAAATCACCGCCGCTGGTTCATCCCCGAAAGGTTCTTCAGCTGCAAAACAACAGAAATGGAAAAGGATAAAGTGTCCCAGGTCCAGTCTGGTTCTCTTTGTCCTCTTCAAACTCAGTTTGTGCAATGAAATACAAATCTTCTTTCAACTAAAAAATAGCAGCCAAAATGAACATGGATCTGGAATGAACAGTGAAAAAGCACATGCTAAGATGCATTAATTTAGCTTGCATTTGTTTCACTTTAGTTTGTCAGTTGCAATCCGGTCATGTAAAATTCTCTGTTCTGACCACTCAACTGAGATTTGGAAATTTCCAAATTAATTAATTAAGGCTAAATTAAATCAAAGAAAGAAAACAAAAGCAAAAAAACTAAAATGGTGATTGGTCTAAATTAAATCAATTAAAGACTGCAAATATCAAACCCTGTAAGTGCTTTTTGTTTTATACATATTTCCTTCCTTCTCCCAAAGCGAACTGGTTAAATGGTGTGATCCTTACACACACTGCTTGGAGTGAGAGTCCAAAAAATAGCCATCTGATACTAGGAAAATTGCTGAGATGAGCCAGTGAGCAAGAGAAACAACTTACAGTGATGGCAGCTCCCATAATCCCCTGTACCACAGCTTCCCCAGTGGATTTAACCTGTAAAGACATAGGCCGACCATCAGCAAATTACACAAAGCAAACCTGTGTAGTGATATCTACTGTACCATATGTACAGCCACGTAGCCATGCTGCAAACTGAACAGTGAATAAAGACCAAACTAAGAGGACAAATAATTCCAATGTTTTCATAGCAACACATTAGTTACAAAAAGATTTGTCAGGGGGCATTCTGGAGAGGTCAGTCTTTCAAACTTGGAGCATGTGTTACCTAAAACACTGTTAAATGAACAAATGAGAAATTCACACAACAGTACCACTGAGATCCAGACTCCAGCAGGGTTCCTGCTCTCAGCACCTCTAATGCTACAGAACTGCAAGGTAAAATAGCCAAGCTCATTGCCCAGATCCTGCAGTCTGAAGCTTGGTCATTGCTGGGAAAATTTGATTGCCATGAGAGTGTTGTGCATGATTCCAGAGTATCACAAGTTCTGGAGGTTCTGCTTTTCATCTGACCTGTGCTCTCAGCTTAGAACACGAGAAAGGTTACAAACAAGACTAGGACATTTGGTTCATGCAGCCCATTTGGTGGTCAGCAGTTAATTGATCCAAAGATCTCATCCTAGCGTTTCTTTAAAGAAACCTGGGTATCAGTTGCACCAGTGTGGATGGGTGTCTCGTTCCAGGCTTCCACATCACTCTGGGTAAAGAACTGCCTGCTGGTCTCAATTTTAAATGCACTTCCACCTAGTTTCCACCTGCGTGTCCTCTGGTTCGTGTTTCACTGTTCATTCAGCTTCTAAGCACAAGAACAAACCTATTCAATCATCCGCAGGGATGTTTCCCAGTTCTTTAACACCTGAGGAGTTAAAGACCAACTAAAAAAGCTAGATGCTTATGGGTCTCTGCATCAAGTGAAGAATTCTTCAGAGCTGGGGAACAATACCAGGGAGGCGGTCAGAGCACATGTGGTCAAAAAGATGTGTGTTTTCCCTCAGGGATCAGCACCTGCTGGGCAGTGTTGGCCATGTTCATCACGTCTTTAATGCGGTTGTCCAAGAAGGTCCAGGTGTCCTGGAAGTCGGGAGAGGAATCCTGAACCATCACCAGCTCTGTGGTGTTATAGATGCCGGTCAGGGCTGCCCGTCGTGTGTACCAGTTCAGCTGTGGGCACACAATCACACCACTTACCAGACTGGCACAGAAGAACACTACAAAAAGTTACAGATTCATCTAGGTTGTCTGGTTCACCCTTCTCATTTAGTTGTCAAAAGCAGTGTGTAGTGGGGATGCTAAAATTATAGCATTATTAATCACCTAATCGTGCTACAGCAGTGAGAGATCATGGCCATGTTTGGAAACATGCTGCAGAATGACGTGACCGCACTCACATCAGTAGAGCGGTCCCAGGCGTAGTACCAGATGTCATCCACCAGGGTGGACAGGTGCTTCAGGCTCTCAGGGATGTTCTGGGGCAGCAGCAGGATGCTCATGGCCTGGCGACGGGGAGGGAAAAAGAATACCATTTTTCAGGAGAACAGCTACACCTCCCATTCCAAAAAAACTCCCCCCTCGTCCTAGGAGTGCCGTCAGCCATGAAACCAGAAGCTCCTTTCCCCAGTACACAACACAGTACCTGCGGCCAGGTTTCGATGTATGGGATGAGCATGCGTAGTCTCATTTCCACTGCTTCTCTCAGAAACTCAGCAGGCTTCTTTGACCTGACACAGAAACACACCCACACTTTTACCCACACAAAGAACACAAAGAAGCTGCACACTGGGTCAGTTGCAACATGTTGTTGAAGAACAGCTGACTGGGGACAAACATGTGTTCAATATTTGCATTCAGGAGGAGAGTCCCTTTGTCCTTTCACTCTGTGTGTTATTCTTGAATTTTATGACTGTGTGTTTAAGAGATAACAGACAAGACTATCCCTAGCATTAAATGATTGTCTAAAACAGAGAAGATCCACAGTTGTCAGAACAATAAATGGGTATACAAGGCCCTGCCACTTGGAAACAAGCAGTTTTCACATGGGTAATAGGTATGAAACTCCAAGCACCAAAAAGTGAGCAATGTCAAAAAGCCGCAGCATCTGAGAAAAAAAAAGACCATTTCCTCATTTCTGGAAATAGGTTATTACTCCCTTCCAGAACAACTAGGCACACTGCAAGAGTGCAGCAGCCACTGTCCCGATCACACAGCACACCACAAACACCCGCAGGCTTGGACTGGGTGGGGGGGGTGACTCACTCGGCCTGGCCCAGCTGGACCTGCTTGTGCTGCTCCGCCAGACTGTCGGCCAGGCGGGTGTTACACTGAGTGATGAAGTGCAGGACTAGGTCTCCGGCGCCGTTGGTGAACATCCCTGCAGCTGCTGCGGACAGACCCAGAGCCTGACAGACCAAGAGACAGAACGCAAGGGTCAGTGATGAGTCTATCATCCTCATCCTCTGACTACAGCAAACTGCTCTCTGTAACTGAAGAAATGGGACAACAGTTTCTTACATTTATGTCTTATTCCCTAAACCTTCTTTTAATACTATTATTAATATTTCATTATTAAGTGTTAAAGAAAACTCCAAACCTACAATTACATCTGTCATACTATAACCAATAAAGATAGATGCAAGCAATGTTTTCTTCCAAGAAATGCATTATAAAATGCGTGATTAAAATAATGTTTCACTGAATGCCTCCATGCGAGTGGTTTGCATTAGCACCTCGAGTGTTTGCTCAAGCTCTGTGGAAGCCCTCTCACGGGCCGGCGCATGTGCACACATGCTCAAGGGCACACATACATGCGCGCTCCGGGATCACCTGTGCTCCCTCCGCGATCGCGTCCACTGACCAACCGTGCTGCGGCACAAAGTCGAGTGCGGCCGCGAGGATGCGGCTCTGCAGCTGCTCCTCCGTCTCATAATCCTCCCCCTGCTCGCCGCTCTGGTCTGCATAGCTGCACAGACACACACGCAGGCAGTGGGAGTGAGGGTCTGCCGCTGCACAAAACCAGCAGCTTGCACAGAACCACCACCTGCTACACTAATGGCACCTGAGCAGTCCCCAGCCCATAAATATCAAGGAAAACGTAGAGGCTCAAAAAGAAATGGCTGAAGATATCCCATTTGCAATGGCAAAGTGGGAACCTATCCACTAACAATCAACATATGTTAACACGTGAGCCAGCTACACGCTATCCATATGGAATATTCCTTTCACAACAACATCCAAATCCAGTACAGATAAGAGAGCCCAGACACAGCCAGTCCAGGCTGGGAGCAGACCTGGTGTTAGTCTGTGAGGACTCAGAGCCAGGTGACGCCTGGTAGTGCTGGTGATAAGAGGAGGAAGAGGCTGTCTGCTCCTGCTTGGAGTCCTCCTGCAATCTCAGCAGCGCAGCTCTGTGGAAACCCCTCTTCACATGGGGGCACTGGCTTCTGTGTGCTAGGTAGGCAAGGAGAGAAGAATTGCACGGGATTTTTAAATGCTGGTGCCTTTGTGAAGCCTCTAGGAGAGGAAGCTGAAGGTAAGGGCGTTTAAACTTGGCTTCTCTTAAAACGAGCATTTTCTCCGAGCATCCTGGAGCGGAGGTGTTTTCGGTTGTTTGCGTCAGGCGACCGGAGATGGTATTGTTCTTACTGCAAACATTTCCAGCTCTACGTTTCATGACATCACTGTCTTTACAGGTCATTGACTGACGTACTTTATACATTTCCTTGACTGCCCCCACGCTAAGCTTGTAAACAAAGTGTTGTCACAAAGGAGCAACTCGCATTTAGCGATAGGTAGGCATAGAAACTACGGGAACGTAAAAAGAACTAAAACAATATACATTTGGCGTTCACCGTAAGAAGAAATCAAAACAATATACGCGGGGTTCGTCTGTTTAACTTTCCAGTTGTTTTAGTTACACAACAACAAGTATGTAACTACGAGTCGTCACGGAACAAATGTATAACGCACTGCTACATTAATATATCTTACACTGATCAGGATTTATCATTTGATCAGTATACACGTATATGTGTTATATGCGCGCATTAAAACAAAAACAATTGTTTCATTAAAACTCTGAATCCATAGGAACAACAATGCAGACTGTCCTTCACGATCACCTTGCTAGTCTCAGATTCAGACCCAGGTTCCAGAGGGGTCACCAGACTACCAGCAGGAACATGCTGCCCGGCCCGCACCCCAGATCGGAGGCTATAACCCCAGCCCCAGCCCGCCGGATTCTCCCTCTCTCACCAGTTCGCAGGGCCCACAAAACCCTCCCGGCTCTCCAACCTCTGAGCAGCGCCGCCATATCCCACCACAACTGCCGCACGTCATTCGCTTGCGACTCTTTCAGTCTCCGGCCGCCTCTCGGTAAAGACGTCAGCGATCTTCCCGGCTTCGGATCGGCAGAAGAAGAGAGAGCCGAGTAAGCGGAGTGTTGGCTAGGTTTGTTACAAAAACCGGTTTTTATCTTACCGTGTGCGTGCGGAAATTAAGACAGTTTTAATTTCTGCGTTTCAGTAAGATTAATATAATACTCTGCGCAGGTTCACTCATAAAACATCGTTGGACGAGAGTTGTATGTCAGTTCATAACCAAGGACAACTGAAGATTCAGGTAAGTGGAAAGGTCGTGTGATATATCGAATTCATTAGAATGGTTTGAACTACGATTTGTTTGCTGGGGGCCGCTACATGTCCAGAGACATTTTATGATTAGTGTAGATCATCACGTTTGGTCCGAACACAGTTTCTTCAGCTATGATTCTTTGATGATAAGCATCGTGTTTCTGTGAAATGAGAAAGGGAATTCTGCTCTGATACAGCTCACTCAGGATAAGTGCAGCTAAAATCAACATTGGTTGAAAGGCATGCTACAGATTACAAATAAATCTATTTTGTAGCTCTACCGCACACGATGGGAGTTTTGGGACGTGACACAACCTGAATAAGCACGTGATCTGTGCATTAAGGGCTTTGTCTTGAGTGTACTTGTACAGCCGGAATCTGCTTTTCTCTCTATTTTTTTACCGAACGTGAAATGTTACTGCTTAACTAGACTCCCTGTAGTTTTAATCGCTCAAATGCCGGCGGGATGGGGTTCGGAAGGGACATTTAATTGGTGCCCCCGCTCAGATTCGGATTTGTAAGGCGATTGGAGTGGGTTGCAGTAAAAGCAACTGCGTCTGGAGAAGCTTGTTTACATGCTGCGATCTCAGTCCCGACGTCGACACTGTCAGCCAGCTTCTTTACAAACGCCTGAGGAAAACAGATAAAAACTGAAACCAATAGGAACGTCTCTCGAATCACCCTGAAGCGCTGACTCACTTCTGCACCTGTCCTCTAATTATCCAGGCTGACGGGGAGGTTTTTCAAAGCATAATACGGTCTCAAAATATTCTTCTCGTGTGGGAAATTAAATTTGAAGGTTAAATGACAACAGACAATGAATTACTGTCTTTTGATAATTTTGGAATTTTATAAGAATTTAGAGAGTTAAGATCTCGGCACTGCAGGAAAAAAATCAATTTTGAATGTTGTCCTGTTAGTTTCACGCTGGATGTCTTAATTTGGGCCCTTTCGGTTTTCACTGGCATCTCTACACCAGTGTGGCCAGTTGACTGGGCCTGTATTCGACATCTGAAATCGACAAGAAGCTTGTGAAACTTAAGCTCAGCTGCACGACGGTCTGATCCAAATACAAACCCAAGTATCGTAAAATCTGATGCAGGCGTGATTGAGATGCACAATGGAAGGTTTTGAAAACACCCTTTTTTAATTATCAGCTATAAATTGACCAGGGTTAACTGGAAAACTGGCTACCAATTACTGAAGGCAATTACAGCCAGCAGTTGTGTAGGGTTTACCATGGCCCTAAGATTCTGGACACAGGCTCATATTAGAGCTCACTGATGTAAATACTTAAATATAATTTTTTTAACAATTCAGTTTATTATTCTAATTTAATTCTGAGCAGAAGACCTCGGGACTTATGAGCTCTAGCACCCTTCATTTTCAGGTCCTGGATAGTCATGCTAGTTGCTCAAGACTAAAGTTTTGAGTTCTGTGAATCTGTCTGTTTAGGGCAGTCCGTTAGGGCTGGGAATTTCCTTCTGTGGACCTAACAGCATTGCTTGTCTTGTGAGTTTGAAACCTTCGTCCGGGGACTGGAGGTCTGAGACTGAGCAGTCTTTTCGGCTGTGCCTGCAGGACAGAGGCATGGCAGAGCTGGGCGTGCAGGCAGGGCAGAGCCTGCTGCTGATGTGGGGTCACCCATCCAGCCCCACGGCAGTGAAGGAGCAGGTGGAGAGCCTGCAGAAAGCAGTGGGATCCCAGGGCAAGGTGGCAATAGAAAACATTGACAGACTACGGCTGTGTGAGTATTCCTTCACAAACCCATGTTAACTTTAAAAAGGCTCAGTAGCTCTGGGCACACTATAGGAGCTGTACCACATAGAGGCAGTACAAGCAGTTGATTCATTTCTGCATTTGGAAGCCTTTTGAAGAATCGTGGTGTGAAACCTGTTTTTGTTTTTTTGAAGAGTGTAGCAGCATTTTGTACCTGTTGCTACTGTTCAGAGAGCCGATGTATTTAGTAATGCCCCCATATGTGGGAATTTTCCACTTGAGGTCCCTTGACATACCCCACTTTCCTGCCTGGGGTATTGTCAGCCTAATTGTTTAAAAATCTGTCTTGGGCATTTCAGAATGCAAAATCCAGGAGTCGCTGTGTTGGTGTCAGGTGCTTTTGAGCTTGGTGTTGTGTCACCTGTTTATGACCTGATTGTCAAGACTTTTCGTTTTTGTATGGCTACATTTCAAAATGAAATTATCCAACATAATTCTAGTTAATTCATAATTCCTAGGGCATTTCATTCTAATACTAATGCCTGAATCACGTATTATAATATGTCCCCATGTCTAAAAAAGATAGCAACTACTCATTTAAATTTTGTATCCATTGTCCTGAAACAAACAGATTTTTTCATTTTTTTGTGATTTTCTGTTCAGTAAAAATATATATGTTTGTTTTGAAAATCAATGAAAGTTGTCCATAATTACTGCATCGTCCATGAAGGTGAGCTATATACCCACTGGCCACATCATTTAGCCAAATGAATGACGTTCTGACATAGCTGGACTGGAATCATAGAATCTCCTGATCTTCTCCTGTCCCTGCAGCCTCTCACCCGGAGTCCAGCTTCCACTGGGTCCTGTCCGGCCTGCTGCCGGACAGCACTGTCATCCACAGCTCAGAGACCTTGGCGGAGATCGGCCGAGTGCTGAAGCCAGGCGGAAATGTCATCCTGGAGGAGCCTGTCTCGGCCTCAGGTGAGTCTCCAGGCAACCAGGGCCTGTGTGTCCCAGCTTATTTCCCACTGCAGGGCCACTCCAATCACTCACCATAAAGTCAATCCCGGACTGATGTGGATGGAAATGTTCCCTCATCCCTCAAGTCCCCAAGAAAATTTTCCATGTTCTGTGAATTGTGACAGTATTTTAAGAAAAGTTACTGATTTATATATTGTAAGCAAAAATAAGTCAGGTATTACAAATAACAAATAGCTTCTATGTTTTACTCCCTTTGACATAAAGTACCGTTGCTCTCCTTTTGAGGTTAATTGTTATGTTTTTTTTCCCAGAAAGAGGAAAAAAAGTTGTCGTTAAAATAACTGTTTGGGCTCCAAGCACCCCTGAACGGGAATGATTTAACAGACTGCAGCTGATACACACAGGAAAGCACTTTGCGTGAAAGGTAGCAGGTGCTGGAGGGCCCAGGACATGGCCAGGGACCTCCTGCTTTGAAGCCTGCTTCCGCTGTCTATGGACAGGAGCTGGCCAGGAGCAGGAGTCTAGATTTTCATCTTGTCTTGATATGGGGACAGAGATGGAAGGAAGGCTATATGAGCCCGTTGCAGCTGAAGCTGAGCGACCAGGTGGAGGAGACGAGATTCAAAATGAGTGGCGCAGACAAACCAGGGCCGAGAGTCTGCTGTGTGATGATGTGGGAGTCCGAGTTGGTGGATATGCGGCCCTGTGGTTTCGAACTGAGGGGCTGGGACACTGTGAGGCCAGCATTCATGTTTAATTTGCATTCTGTTCTTCTCTTTAGGTAACAACAACAAAGTGAAAACTCTTAGCAAACTTATTTCAGCCATGAAGATGTCGGGACTGGTGTCCGTGTCTGAGGTACTTTCTGAAACTTATTCTGAGTTCCTGATGATGCAGAATAAGATAGAAGAACCCAAACCTGAACTATATTCAGTATTCTAAGATCATTTCCCCCAAACAGCATTTTTATATAATTCCCATTTATTAACTTCATCATAATAACTTCTTCTTTTATTTCTGCTATCACTGTACTTCTTTAAAGCGAACATTCAAAGTGGACCTGCAGCTATGCTGTTATGGGTAGGGGATTTCCTTTTAAGTTTTACCCATAAAAAATCTTATGGGGATTGAGCCTGTATTGAAATGGGCCCATAGGGGTACTCCCCTGGGCATGATATTCCACATCAGTGGGCCCTATTTTGGCTCTGTGACCATTTTTTGTGTCCATGCATCCTCGGGTGACACAGGTGATGTCTGTGCCATTGAGCTGGCTCCGCCTGTGGGAATGTGGACCAGTGGACCCTGTGGATTTGGACCAGACATTTGCCCCACACAGCAGAACTTTAATAATAGCTGTCTGGAAAGGCCGACTAGATTTATAAGTACTCTGCACCCGCCAGAAACAAAGTAAAATGGCTCAGAAAGAGGCCTGTAGATTCTAGAAAGTGATCTTGTCATTGTTTTCAAACTGAAACTGGTCTCTCTTAGATCAAAGAGGTCATAATTGGCTTATCTGGATGATGATCTCTTAGAACAGCAGCCCATTCCTGAAATGCCTTCTGTTCAAAGGTCAGAACCGAGCCCTTGAGTTCTGAAGTCGCCACGACTGTGAAGGAGGCCACTGGGTACCAGGAGAGTGACCTGTCCAGAGTTCGGATGTCTGCCAGCAAACCCAACTTTGAAGTGGGCTCATCCAGCCAGCTGAAGCTGTCATTGGGAAAGAAAGTGGCTCAGAAAGGTGTGTCTGTCGGGCAGCGACAGAAATGGGGGGTCGGCCTGGTTTCTCATTTCCTGTGCTGCTTGATCTCGCTGGGCAAAATCGAGGAAGTTGTGTGGCCGTTTGAAGATGCAGGACAGTGGCTGCGGAGGAGCCAAGTCTTCCTACCAAGTGGTGTTGAGTCCTGTTTGTGATGGGAGAACATTACAAGCCCCCCCCCCCCAGTTATGTCTGAAAGCAAGCAGGTGACCAAACACACGCTCTTTCTCCACAGAGAAGCCCGCCCTGGATGCCAGCACAGCGAAGATGTGGACACTGTCTGCCAATGAAATGAACGATGATGATGTGGTGAGTGCGTGTGCGCAGGGTAGGGGTCCCATGTCTTCTACTCCAGTCCGGCATATTGTGGTAGTAGTATCTTCCAGGGGATAGTGTCATGAATAAGGATATAGTTATCTCAGTGGGACTGAGACAGTTGCCATTAAATCTGAAAGTAGGCAGCAGCACAGATGCTATAAAATGCTTTGCAGTGACTTTTAAAGTACTAATAGGTAAGGTGCAACCTAAAAGGCTCTGGAGCTACACCACACCTATGTCTGCTGTCCAGTGAGAGAAGGTGGTTCTGAGGCAGCTGCTGAAGTTTGCTTTTACCATTTGTTAACCGCCTGCTTGGTACAATATATATTTCTGGAGATATGTTAATCCTGTATAAACATCCAATTAAATCGATAAGCAAAATTCCATGTTCAACATGAAATAGCTTTTATTTCTAATACTGAAAAGTATAGCTGACACTTTGAAACCAACAGCTGACTGATCATTGTAGTTTATCTGCTCTTGAACGAATGTTTCTGGCCACCTTAGTGATGTCCTGATCCTGTCCCCCCAGGATCTCTTGGACACAGATGCCTACCTTGACGAGGAGGACCTGAAGAAGCCAGACCCGGCCTCTCTGAGGGCCCCCAGCTGTGGAGAGGGGGCAGCCACGAAGAAGAAGGCTTGCAAGAACTGGTGAGAAGAGGGAGTCCGTGCCTGCTGGTTCGAAACACATCAGACCTTATCCAGAGCTCTGGAAAGCAGCCATCTTTGTAAAACTAAGGAATAGTTTCTGCAGACTCAGAGTAGCACTATGACTTTTCATTGAAGTTACAAAAATATATTATATCGTTGAAACTAAATCGAGCTTGTAAGTGTGGGTAGCAGTTAACTGACCACCATCTTGCCTGTTTTCTCTCAGCACATGCGGGCTGGCGGAGGAGCTGGAGCAGGAGACCAGGGAAGCCCAGAAGCAGACCCAATCCAAGTCTGCCTGCGGGAATGTGAGTTCGTCGGCCGTTCTAGTTCACTCCTGTCTAACCCTTCGCCCGTCCAGCTCCTCTGATCTCGCTGCCTCTGGCCGCAGCAGTATCGCCCTGCGGCTTGATCTCTGCAGCTAAGCAGGGCTGGACCTGTGTTTGGTGTTTTTCCCGAAAATCAATGAATAGTTCCAGTATACAGAGGGATTCTTTCCAGACCCAGCCCTCTGTTGTTCTGTCATTGATTATTAGACAGCTCTGATGCTACTGTGTCTCCTTCAGTGCTACCTCGGAGATGCCTTCCGCTGTGCCAGCTGCCCGTACCTCGGGATGCCCGCCTTCAAGCCCGGAGAGAAGATTGTTCTGCAGGAGACGCAGCTCACAGATGCCTAGAGCTCCCCCCCATCCCAAGGGCTGACACATTCCACCCTTCCTGCTCGGCATGTCTGCCGAGCCCCTGGGAAAAGACAGGTCGCGTTCCAGGGATTATCACAGCTGCGTTTTAGTCTGGATTTCCCCACTGTAGATGTCAATTACCAGTTTTGTCCATAAGAAAGACGGACAACAATCAGATCTAATCAAACCAGTCCAGTTAGCAGTTTCTTCTGAGCAGAACCATTCACTTCATTGCTCTCACTTGTCATCCCATTATGCAGGAAAGAGGTTTTAAATCGTATGTCATGTCTGAGGGATGTAGAGAAGCAATGGTTATTAATATCTCCAATTTAACTTGAGATAAACAAATATTAAAATGTACATATTTCAAAAAAAAATCAAACAGGTGTCTTTCTCCTCTGTCCTATGAGGTTGTGAATAAAGCAGCTTTCTGTAGCATGTACACTGTAGAAACAAAGGCTAATAAAGGGGGTGTATTGTTTTTCACACTGCTTCTGCATCCATCAGTCTCTTCCATTTACACCAGCGACGGGGTTGGAGGTTAGATCTCTTCATCAGCACTGTGAAACCTCTGATCACTGGTTTCACTGTCGCTGCAAATCCAGCTCTGTCATTGAGCCCACTTCCATCTCAAACATGGTCTTGTCTTCCAACAGTCTCTAATCACCATGCAATTCATGTGCATTTGCATCTGAAACAATAGACTTAGCTTGTCTTTTCTAGTATTAACCCCTTTATATACAACTTATACTACACAATCTTATTGCGTTATCATACTTAGTTATAAAAGAATTGCGTTATGCCACAATTTAACGTTGAGAAAATGTCTGCTTGTCTGATCCTTTCTCCATTTCTAAATACTCATTCTGAAAATGTTACAAAAGAGTAATGTCTCTTTACAAAGTACAACATTTTATCAGAGGCTGAATATATCATCCAAACATTCTTTTAAGCTGAAAACAAAAAGACATACTTCTGAGAGCTGAAACTCCCGTAAATAAGATGCCCTGAGCAATACTACTGAAATTCATCAGCTGTACAGCTATTCATGGTAACACCAAAGAAAACTGCAGATATTTTAAAATCCTTTATTAAAAACAGTCTTTGGTCAATGTGCAGCTGTAGGGGTGAACTCCATAGCAATGTCTCCACTGTGGGGGTGAAAGGTCAGAGTATAGCTCACAGAGTCACAGCCATCTCCTTCACTGTCCCAGGGGGAACTGAAGAAATACACACCTTGTTTCCGGTGGGGGCTCCATTCACAGGTGCCCTAAGAAGGGACAGATAAAATGGCATGGATGTAACTTAAGGTTTTACCAGCATGTGGCGTCTGAATTAATAAGGTTTCCCTAAAGCACCAAACGTGAAAGTTAAGCTTTTACTCCGACTCAAACATGGCTGCTGTCCTGTGTCCTCATCAGATTCTCTAAATTAACGTTTGCTTCTTTCCATTTCCTATAGTTTATTACTCAACAGTCCCTAACATGACTGATAGCAAAATGACTCGAAATGTTTGCAATGTATCCTAATAAGTGTTTTAACTGTTTGTGAAGAGCCTGATCCCGGCACCCGATAAGCGTCTAACTTCCCAGGTTCTTTTTGGTGTTGATCCTGGAGTTATCCAACAAGTTGACTATATGTTTAAGGACTGAGAAGGCACAAACACTTTGAATGCTACAGTTTAGCCTAGCCTATTTTTTCTTATGTTTTAATGAAGAAGCCACACCTGTAGGCAAGCTACTTCCACACAATGCAGAGTGAAAGGGGTTACCTGTTCACTGGGGAGCCCTGTGAGGCCTGTGCTCACAGTAATGTCGTCAGTCAGGTGGTATTCCATCCACAAGGCCACTCCATGGCACCTACCCTTCCTACATACAACACGTGATCAGGACAACCACAGCTCAGTCACAAAAATCACATTTTATTTTACATCTATAGAATCAGCAAGAATGTCTCAGTGTTTTCTGCATACAGTAATACTATGGCTCTGCTTCAGCTCTTCCCCCAAAATCAGTGAGAATATCCAAACTGTAGGAAAACAAACTCTAATACCACACTTTAATAATTATGTTCCATATAAATGCACTTCAAAAGTCCTTTGGAATTAGTTTCAAACCAACAGTTTCTTTGGATGTTTCAAAACACTGGAAAATATGTCCAGCTGAGTCAAAAATGAGAGCAATTAAGACCAGAATTTACAGTACCTCCTCAGTAGAAGGCTGTTTATTGTCATTTCCTTATTTAATAATAACAATCCCATCAGCAGAGATCACATTTGACTGTATGGGAAGTGCTCCTTACTTGCCAAAGGAATTGTCATCATATTCAAATATCATCCAATATTCATCGCTCTTAGGCTGGACTTTCCAGTTCTGATCCTGGAAGATCAGTGTATCTGCAGAGTTACATTATAAATCAGCTAGTTATTGGCTCAGTTGAACCAGTTTAGCAATTTCTCCAGGCTCTTTAAGTACTGGTACTTGTAGATATGAGATGTAGAAAATGTACAGAACATGTATCTAACAAAACTGCTCGAACATATAATTACTTATAGTCTTACCGCACAAGCGCTGCTGATCCTTGGCTCTTCATTGGTTGCTCGGGCACACAGAGTCGGAAGTCAAAGGTCATGACCTCGCGTGGCTGGGATAGGGCCCTGCAGGGGTACTCCCACAGGGGGTGAGGCTCAGCCTCCCGGGACTCCCGAAAATCCAGAGAGCGCTGGTGGGGGAGGTGGGAAGGGTAACGATCTCTTTAATGAACTCTTTCACACTACCAGTTGGACATGGAGGTCCAATATTCGAGTTCCATAGTTTGGAGATACTTTACTGAAATGTTTGAAACGTTATGCAAAGGTCAGATGAAGAAACAAGATGCTTTCAATGGTTCACATACAGTTTTCCCCTTCATCATGCCGGTGAATTCTAGTGATTTAACTTTTCCTTAACCACCAGGATGCACAGACAGACCATTGCTGCATCACACATGTACCAAACATCAATTCAGCAGAGCACCTACCTGTATCATCTCATCCATGGGACTGACGTCAAACCCCTCGCACAACCCACACGGAGCCCTGATCCGCCACAGGTCCTGAAGAAAGGGGTGGACACAGCTGTGAGCTCTGGGACTGCCTGCCTGCCTGCCTGTCTTTGAAATGTATCGACTGCCTTCTAAAAATGGACAAAACTCACACTAGTAAAACGTCAAATGGACACTAATGCTACAGGTTCAAAACATCTGCAAAACTGAGAAAAGATTTAATGGAATCCTACTTTGCAAAGTAACATGGGGTACTTCTGCACACTTAAGAACAGATACGAGTCTGTGCGTGCCCCCTGTACCTTGAACTCCACGGCTGCCATGCACAGGGAGGCCGAGCGTGGCATCACGGTGGCATCTGGGTGCAGGAGCCCTGCCAGGGCGGTGCGGCAGTACCAGAAGTACAGGGAGTGCCAGGGCAGGAGGCTGGTGCTGAAGTAGGGCTCTCCGAATAGCACAGAGATCTGCGGGCACACAGACACGGCCACTGAGACGGGGGCGGGCTGGCACCTTCTTCAGCCAGGAGGAAGCTAAATTGTAACTTCCCAACAGGTTAAGTGACTCTGAGGCGACTTAGTCTGTCAGCCTCTGCCTAATGAGCCCTCGCAAACATGTACCTCAGTTTCCTCCGTCTAGCATCTGAAATCTGAAGATACAGACAAGCTCACAGTGTCACACAGAAAGAATGTGTCTTTATTTGCATATTCATTACATTTTCCCATCCGCAGTGAGAAGCGGGTTTGGATAGCCTAAAAGTACATGGTACAACGGCCACCGGCTGCCACTGTAAGTTAAAAAACAGACGCAACAGCACAACGTTTTGCCCTTTGGTTTTTTTTAACACTCGGCCCAAAGCAAAGTGCAAAGTAAGGATCGAGGCAGCGTGAAGCTGTGACTGAACAGAGGCCTGTAGGCAGGCTCAGGCTGTTCCCAGTCTCCCTGGCAGCTCCACTGGGCAGTGCCACCCGGCACCCCTGCAGGGCCCTGTCTTACCTGATTCCCCCCCACACTGCTGACGGTGAGCTGCTCGGGACGACTCTCCAGAACCTCCACTGCTCCGCTCAGGGCGCTGGCCTCCAGGACCTCGGAGAGAGAGGAGGGAGGGGGGCGGGGAGTGAGCACCAGGAGACTCTTTTCAAATTGTGTCAGTCTCTCGGACTTTGAAAAGCAACAAGCAGCTGTGAACAACACCTTTTGTTAGGGGAGTGTATCAAAATTCAAAACGCATTCAGTATTTACTGAATACGGAGCAAGCCGCTGTGAAGTATTTATTCAGCAACATGCTTCGAGAAACTCTTATTTGGAGGTTTAGCTTTATCTGGGTCACTAGACGACTGGGACTGGGACTGGGACTGGGACTGGGACTGGGACTGGGACTGGGACTGGGACTGGTACACTGGTACACTGGTACACAATCCAGCCATTCCAAACTGGGCGGATATATGGTAAAAACATACTGCAATTGGCTGATTCAAATTTAAAAAAAATCTCATCCGTGAATCAAAATATAGAGTATATCTCTTTTCAGCTTTCTTTTTTTTGGCTTCTGTATCCTTAAAATTGCTTCATGCCTTCTGAATGATGACTAGAAGGCACTTCAGTTTATTAATACTGTTGGAGCACTACACTGTTCCAGACAAAGCAGAGCACAGCAGGCAGGGTGCAGTTACGGAGGATAGCGACCAGAAGACACTAAAGTACAAGTAATGTGACTTCGGTTCAAAACTCCATATGTGTCTTTATTTGGGATTTAGGGGTTTTATTTAGGAGCAAATGAAAGAGGACACAGACATGCAAACAGCTTCATTCGAGCCAGCCTCTCCACTGCATCAAGGCAGCCTTTTTTGTTGTTGCTTTGTAATAATTCGGAGGGCTCGCGTGAAAACTCACAGCAGTAGCAGTTAGCAGCAGCACTTGTGTAGTGCAGTTCAGTCCCCTTTCCCACAGTCAACTTACCCGCTCGATCACCTGCTTAGACATCGTTGAGCTTTCCAGACTGTACACCTGCCGAGAAACAAGGACAGAGAGAGACCACCATTGTCAGAAGGACACAGAACCAGATTTCCAAAAGCCAAAGGTTCTTTTCCAATCAGTTCCCCTTCATTAGTGAATTAATCATTTTCTTCATTATCCTCCCTCTTGCTTTGCATCTCAGCCCCTGTATTGCCGGAGGTGAATGATGAGACCTCCTCCAGGCGCTGCCGTGCCCAGCAGGAGTGGTGGTGCCCTGGCCAGCTGCCCCCACCCCGAACCCCAGTAGCGCTCTGCCAGTCAGGCAGAACTGCTTGCAGAACCCCAGCCACAGGGGCGGAGAGGTGGCACTGTGGCTCAGGATCTGCGCCTGTGGCTGGAAGGTTGCCGGTTCAAATCCCGGGGCCAGCAGAGGAATCCTACTTGTTTAGGCCCCTGAGCAAGCCCCTTAACCCCAACTGCTCCAGGGGTGCCGTATAAATGGCTGACCCTGCACTCTGACCCCAAGCTTCTCTCTCCCCGTCTGTCTGCCTGTGTGTCTCATGGAGAGCAAGCTGGGGTATGCAAGAAGACTAATTCCTAATGCAAGAAACTGTATATGGCCAATAAAGTGATCTGATCTCATCTTACAGTCTGCGTGGCACCATGGATACACAAGACCTTTTACCGCACGAGAGCGCTCCTCCTCCTCTGTCGTTTTCACAGTAACGAGAAAGGGATCGGAGCGTGTGGTGGAGAGCCGCAGAGCAGTACCTTCCGTGCTCCCAGGAGATGAGCGAGCGCGGGCAGCAGGCTCCCGTCACTGACGCCGAGACACACGCTGTCCTGGCGCAGCACCTGCAACACAGCAGACGTGGCCTGTGAGCGCAGCGCCAGCGGGATTCCTCGCGGTCATTTACTTCCAGACATCACTGTGACCTGTCCATGCCTTGAGCTCTTGCTGCTGGAGTGTCTCCTATAAGAGACATCCGAGAGGCAGCAGCCTCAAGGACACATCTCCGACGGCACCTCTGACTCTCAAGACTTTTAAAGTTTAAAAAAGCCAACCAGGCTACAACGCCTCTGCCGTTGAGGGATTGAATACGTTTCATTGCCAGAACCATTGAGGTCAAAACTAACCATTTCCCATTAACCATGTCTTCTGCTTTACGTCCTCCATGATGTGCAGACATTGGTGGTGCCCCATCTCTTTTGCCTTTGGGAGTGTTTTTAATGTGCATCTCATTTCAGTATATTAACACTACGTATTTCATTACGGAAGAGCCCTGTATACCTAGACCATACGCAGGATCATGATGTGTCCATCTTGGCTGAAACAAAGTGCTACGCTTTCATGACCAGATTCATATACATACATTCACATTGACTTTCCACCTCAGCCAAGAGTGTTATGGCAAGCCTTTAGCTCACCGGTTCTCTGAAGACTCAGTTAACTAAGCCTAAGAACCCACCCACACAGATACTGGACACTCACGCTGCGCAGGGCCTGGATGTAGCTCTCAGTCCTGTGGGGATCGTTCAGCTCTCCAAATCGCGGCCTCGTCCACACCATATGCGCCTGGCAGGTGCAGCGTGGTATGCACACACCCAGCTCATTGTCACCGCCCTCTTGACTGCACAGGAGAGGCACAAATTACACATACAGCACTTAAACACATTTAACCAAGCTTGTCATCATGAAGAGATGAGGAATGATACTGGTAATAACACGTCATTCAATCTGAAGTGAAATAAGATAAAAGAGATGATATAGTCTAGACGCCTGCCAGAATCATGCATTCAGCCAGCTTGAGAATGACGACACTCAGCACGACTGGTTACCTGTGTTTGCGCAGGCTGTACCAGAGACTGTAGTCATCACGGTTAACCGTCAGGTTGACCTTCTCTCCCTCTGCCAGCAGCACCTCCGCCGGAAGGAAGTACACACACTGCATCCAGTGATCACGCCACTGCAGCACAAAACAGCCCATCAGAGCTCCTTTTAGCTGTCATTCTGAGCTCTTTGGACAACCAGAAAACATAGACTCTCGCAGTCACACCCATGTGCTTTTCAGTACCCCGCCCCTACGCTGTGCAGCCAATTGGAAGCATTTTCTTCCATACCCTAATGGACCTTTCAGCCAATCAGAAATCAAACAACACCCCAGTGTTCCACAGCCAATGAGGAACCTCTAGTAGCAGTGAGATCAGCCATTAAGAAAACCTTCATTAGTGACCAATGATAACCAGTAAGAAGAAGGGTACTTAGAGCCATATTAATTTATGGAGGTCAAGTTTTAGGGACTATGTCAAGATTACACACGAGTAACAGCTGAGTATCCTATTTAAACCCATCCTGCTTCCCACAGTTTCAGCTCTAGCCACTCAAGCTCCCTCTCTGCCAATTACTGAAGTCCACCCACTCCAGCCCTCCTCAACACACAGTCCCAGCCCGATCGCTCACCGGGTATGTGTCTGAGTCGGGGTACGTCCAGCTCGGAGCCATAGTGCAGGTGATAGTGCCCTCCGGGTCCATGTCAATGTCCCACCAGGACAGGACCACCTGTGCCCGGCCCGTGGTGAGGGCTGTGAAGCTGGCGCTGTGCCACTGGGGGGCACTGCTCACTGGTTGACTGAAATCCACCCTGGAAGAGGGAAATGGTGGCGGTCATGTGTAAAACTAAATGCCACAGATATGACAGTGCTAGCAGCGTCTGTCAGACACAAGATGCTCTGTGCCTGGATTCCTACCAATCTGAGTTCACCAACACAGGGAAGAATGAACATATCTTAGATGAAGGTGGAAAGGGTTGGTATCTGTATTCTGAGCAGAGTCACAAGTGAAAGATGGCATTATGATTCTTACTCTCAGAAGGGTGTTGAACGCAGACAGTGTCTGAGTCCAGTACTTTAAATTCAAGTAAAACTGAGCTGCAGGGGCTCCCGAGTGGCTCAGACTGTATAACCGCTAAATTAAAAAAACGCATTGCAAAATGCAAAATATTTGCACATGTGACAAGTGATGCTGCCATCACTTGTCACAAGTGATAAGCTGAAGGTGACCATAACAACTTTGACAATACTAAGTACTCTGGCCAACAGCTCTAGAACAACAGCTTCCAAACACAATCGTACATTGCTGGGGCTTTGTGTAAGCAGAATGACAATGTGTCTACGGGACTGTGACTGAGACTGGCTCGTGAGAAATGACTGTGCACATGTATATAAGTCTTCCTGCTCAAATTTCAGCTTCTTTCCAATACTTTCTGGTAGATTAGACTAAGCCTGAATCTCAGAGCCTCTTCCTTGGGATCTTCAGTCCAGCAGTTTAATCTCCAGTTTTAAAGGTCTCCCCAACCTAGGTCATCCACATTCTAACAATTTGGAGCATTTGTAAGTTATTGATCAATTAAGAGAATCCTGGTCCTTGAGGGCTGTATGGTATTAACATCTGTGTCCTGTTACATTACTCAATTTAACAAAACACCACCACTCATTGTAGTTATAATGCTATTTAGAATTATGATCAGTGGACCAGAAGACACAAGGTGAAACTATACTGGGGTACATTTAAAGTGAGAAAGGCTTGAACTTCTTTACCCAGAGGGGTCTGGGAATTTGGAACAAGATATTCGGTCATGTTGTTTCTCTGGCTTCTTGCAGGAAGCAGCTGGATAACACTACCAACTAGCTACACTACTGAACTACCAAACGAGCTAGGTCCCTTGTAACCCTTCTTATTTTCCTGTTTGAAGTCCTGAAACTGTCCTGAAAAAGACCTACAGCACTATGGTCAATCGGCAGTGTTTAAGTCTCCTCCATTTTATGCTTCCTACTGTGTCACAGAAGGACTGGGTCCTTGTTTTCCCCTCTCCAGGAACTGAGGGAGGGAGGCAGTGAGCCCACACGTGGACGTGACTGGAGCTGGGCTGCCCTCCAGGGTGTGCTAAGTGGCTGTGTTGGGGTGAGCTTCAGAAGTGTCTGTGCACGCCGGTTTACCTGAACACGGTGCAGAGTGGGCTGAGGGGGGTAAACTGTGAGGGGGGCACCTGGCTCAGCTGGATGTCGCAGACCGCGGGCGCCCCAGCACACAGCCCCACCTCAGGGGGCGGCAGCAGCTCGTGGTTGCCCACTCGCATGGGCAGCAGGCGGGCCCAGCTCCACAGCCTCTCAGACTGGACCAGCTGGGCATACACTGTGGCTCTGTGGGGCACTGCCTCGCACCCCTCCTGCAGAGAGAGAGGAGGGACAGGCTCAGCCTTGGGCCTGCCGAGTTCTTCACACATGTCAGGTGTGCACACAACCCTCTGCTAATGCTCTGCTCCTGAGTCAGCACTCACACAAAGCATTATCTCTGCACATCTACAATGACTGCTCATTTACAATCTGTCGCCAATGGGCAGCCGCAACAGAGAGGGGAAAAAATAATGTTCACTTCTTTCTGCAAGAACCAAAATGAAAAACAGAAAGAACAGGGATAACAAGGGGATTACAGGGAAGTGTTGTGCTGCTGCAGCATGACTTAATATTTCTGAATTTGTATGGTAATAGTACTCTAATACCATTCACCATGTTTTCACAATGCTCTGCTACATTCCCCAAAGAATCATTACACCATGCTAGCTGCACACAATGGTACCCGCTGTTAACGTCTGTAAGGGCAGTGACACTGATACCATTATAGTATGCTAATAACATTCATCTGTCTCTCTCTCAGAAATCTATCAAGACTGCTATAAATGACAAAGCTCTTCTTCAAAAAAAGAGGAACAAGGTAATATTTTTCTAAATATTTTTCTACAAGTTGCCTGAATATACGCCAGATACAAGCTAAGTGCTCTGTTCTCACAACTGTGGTTTGAAGTGAGCGGACCGCTCCTCACCTGCACAAGGTGCTTGTGAGCGTGCTCGTAGCTGGGCAGGGCCCCCTCTCCGATGAGCTCCGTGTCGAAGAGCTCTGTCACCAGGATGTTGGCTCGTGTCTGCATGTCACCCTCTGACAGACACAGAAGAGGATGTTAGCATTACCACTTGTAAACACAGCTCTGAGGGCACTGAGGACGAATCAGTCAATGGTGACCTGAAATAGTGCTTCCGTCAGCAAGATGCTTTAATTTCATAAACATTCTTCCCTTCTCAAAGAAGCACTCTACATGTAAAAGGGAACAAACTTCATCCACCCACTACAGGGCAGCAGCCCCAGTGCACTTCAGATCTGGTGAGTGAGAAATGACTTCACCAGCTGAAGTAAGGTGGAATTTTAGGCAGGCTACATTGTGCAAGCCCGGGGGCAATTCAGCCAGGACACAGGGACTAATAGCCCTACTCTCACAGTAGCATGCTGGGATCATTAATGACCGATAGCCGGACCTTAAATTAATGTCCCATCCAAGGAATAGCCACCTTTTACAACTGCAACTTGGCATGGACAACAAATGTCTTCCTGATTGACATCAAAGGTCTTTCATGACACTGTCTTTGAACACACGAGCTAAAAGCACCCTGTACTTCTCAGACGAAGTGCTGCAACAGGACAGGGACTGGAGTGAGCTAACCTGGCCCCACTGTGACCTCGGTGGAGTGTTTATTGATGATCTTGATCTTATCCCGGAAGCCATTCTTCTGCACGATTTTCTGTGCTGCCTCAGCCATGGGCTTGAAGACCTGTCGGAGAAGATAAGGGCACTTCAGAGCAGAGCTGACGGAGAGACACCGTTCCTGAGGCCAGAGCCGCCTTGCTAAACAACAGGACAAAACACTCAGCACAGACTGCAGAAAGCACAGACATCCACGCGTGGCAGGTGAAGACTGACAACAGTCACATCATAATAACAACAACAACAACAATAAGAATTCCTTACACTTATACATGTTCACCACACAGGAGCTATCAGTGGGGAGGAGTGCTTTACTGGAATGAAAACCAAAGGATTCAGCAGTTGTCCAGGAAATTATTAGGAAGGATTTTTTTTTTCCTGGGAAAGAGTGACAAGCCTGTTCTGTTTTATGCTATGAATTTTTTCCATCAACCTGTATCTGTTTCAGCCTTCAGTTAGAGCTAAACAATGTTCATAATGCACTGAAACACTACTTTCAAATCATTAGCTTAACTCGTAATGAGACAGCTATAAAGGTAACTGTATGCATCAAATACTGTACATAGACTCCGGTTTAAAAGCCTTCATGCTCAAGCCAGCACACACTGATAACTAAGATGTCTGTATGTTGGATGTATCTGATTCCATCTCTGGGCTTTAATTCTCACGTTCCTCGGGCTCCCATCTCCTCTCTCACCTCCACAGCGTAGCAGTAGTCCGCCCCCGCGCTGATGGCCATCATGGACAGAAGTCCGGTGCCCGTGCCAATGTCCAGCACCACAGCCCGCTGGCCCCGAGCCCGCACGCGCGCCACAGCAGCCCGAATGCCCAGGAAATACTTCTCATTCTGCCGGATCGCAGAGAGGGGACAGATAAAGGAACAACAGAGCCACAGAGTGGATGAGCTGCAGACAATATCGCTGAGCACAGTAACGTTCAGCTTCACTTCACTAGTGCCTGACTCTGGGGGCAAAGATCTTGGACGTCTGTTATCCTGCTGAGCCCAAAACTCTTCTCCTGCACTGTGAGTATGTACCATCTAAACTCCTCTCCCATGTCAGAAATTTACGCTATAAAAAAGATGATGCATTCATACTTCCATAAAATTCTGGAGACCGTCTCTTGTCTAAGATTGCTCCAGTTGAGGGGTCTAATTAGTTTTTAAACATTTCACGTTAAGGTCCAATATTTGTCAGACAAGAACATCAAAGGTTTGCATTTAGTTAAAGAATATGGCTGAGCTCAGAGAGACACACCTACCCGATCTTTGTCATGAAGCATATCTGCATACGAGGACCTGTAACAGACAGAACAGCCACAAATACATCACAAATCACAACGGTGGGCTGAAACAAGCACACGGAACTGGGGTCAACTGTTTTGGCTATGCATGCAAAATATTAGACTGAATGTAACCATACGAACAACTATTAAAACTTAAAAATGTTCAAACGACTATAATTGTGCCTCTGTTACGCTGCTTGGTGAGAAGGCCAAGAGCTTTATTCAAGCCCGTGAGCTGGGATAAATCAAAATGACCTTAAACTATCTAATGCCTACTTTACACTTGGCGCTGGGAAGGTTCAAATGTTCAACTCAAGAGAAGCCATCCCCAGCTTGGTTTTGTCAGTCAAACCCTCTTGGTCATAATGGCCTTTAGATAGATTGTTTAAAAAGCGGTAATCAATACAGAGAAGGCCGGCGATCAATAGGGCACCAGGAGGATAAAGGGTAGCTGTTGGGCAAACGGGCACTGGAAGTCAAAGTTATGCTTATCATCATAATCATAATAGTCACACTTGGTCAGCATTCTCTACTTCTTTAGAGCAGCACTTGATAGGGACTGTGTTTAATGTTTGCTCATGTAGTTTGGCTTCAATTGAACCCTGAACCGTGCCTCTACTGTCTGTACTTACAAAGTTATTAAAAAATTCTTAAGAGGACATAATTCCGGTTGGAAACTGACTCTGTAGGTCTGTGACACACGGGAGTACTAAAAGAGTAATGTTTTTACAGTTTTTTTTAAATATACAGTTAATTAAAAACGTCAGGCTACTGCGTTGTAAATCAGTGAAAGACGTGTAAATCGAACTCAGGCAAACACCTCTGTGAAGCACCTCTCTGCAGAGAACAGCTTAAACAATGGCTTCGTGTCTGAAAAAGCAAGATGTGCTGCGCAGGTGTTCAGTTTCAAAGATTTAGCTTCAGTACTGCGCCCTGGATTATTGACAGTGTACGACAAATTGTTTTTTATGTGTTTTCAGCCATCACCGCCATCTACCGTAGATGCCCACTTTAATCCGTTTCCTGCATCCGACTCGATGTTTGGCAGCGTCATGGTATTTCACAGCAGTCCATGATAACTGACCGCCTAAAACCGCCCATCCCGGCGCCTACTGTCAATTAAATTCTAACCGTATAAATTAATGAACGGATCCTTAGGTGTGCGTGTGTTTTACAGTATGTGGTGCAAGGTTGGTCCATCTAACACAAAATAACCAAAATAATCTATCATTCCCGCAATCATTTGTGAGCTAATAATTTAAGAATGTTTGAAAAAATAATCTAACCCCCTTTCTTTATCCAGATATCAATTAACCCTTTATGTTGACACAGGGAGTAATCAGTTGATCGGTAAATGAAAAAAGGATCAGTACACTGGACAGCGATTTTCTCATGCGGGTTGTTCAGCGCAACCGAGGCGGGCAGTGAGATGACATCTTTAGCTCCCAGTCATCCGATAATGCCGACAGGTACGTGCTTCGCTAACACTGTCGTATTTGTTCAGTGACTAGCCGACAGACGGTTTTTTTCACTGATCTTTCAGGGGGGACCTCTGCGATTTGCGGGGTTCACACAAATAACCCACTTTGGTCAGTCACACAGCGGACAAAATGGACGCTAGTAAGAGGAAACAAACTACAGCACTAATCAAAACCTTAATTAACTGGCCGTAGCTTTCTCTGCAGCGTATTTGTTTTCTCGAAAACGTCGGAGATAGAACAGATACACCCATTTGAACCGTAAACGTCTTCATCGTTCAACAAAATAAGTGCTAGATTATTTTTGCAGATCTAATGAGTACTTATCTGCGGTTTCTTAATAATGGACGGGGTTCGGTTTGTTAATTTAATCTCAGACGCAAAGGACCTAATACTTTAAAAGCAGCTTTGTCGCAAAGAAAAAAGATTCGGGTGATGGGAGTTCATGTGCGGCACTTTACCGGGCGATCTCCTGATGATAATCATATTCTTCGCTTTCTTCAACCCAGTCCAGGGCTCCGGTGGTAGGATTGGCCCGGCCACAAAACGTCTTCATGTTTTTAATTCGGCCTGCTTGGAGAGGCTCATCTAACACGGCTTTGATTAATGGGTAAACGGTGCTCCACTCTCATCCCCTACGACAACATTAAGACAGCATTGCTGGCAAGGGCGCAGCCATTTTCCTTTCTCGGTAGCAACGCCCACCCCCGTCACATGACACGAGTGTCGTGTTTCCACAGTGAAGCAGACCACGAGCTAAAGAGGCTTATTTTTTAAAATCTAAAAAAAATGCCGAAAATAATAACCAGTGGAAATGAGACCCAATACGAAATTTTGCACCGTACAGATTACCGTATGTTCTTCATAAACGTAACAGGGACATAATATGTTCTAAATCTAAAAAAAGTAGTGGAATAATTTTGTACCTTTTCAGGATTGATAGCTACCTTCAGGATTTAAACAAATATAAACGAGTGCAAACTGACCAGGTAGAGTTTACGTCGTACATTTCCAGCATTAAAATGTGTTATATTCTTCGTTACTGGGTCAATACACTCGGCAGATGCTTGATCAGTGGTTTGCGGAGTTTCTCTCCTACAAGGATGGAGTGCAGACGTGGAGAAATGTCTGAATTTCTTTTAAGTGTGTCAGTGTAAAAGTGGAATGTTGTGGGTTTTCCTCAGTGGCATAAGCAATGTATCATCTGGGGTGTGCTCACCTTCATATGTTATTATCCTGTTTTGTTCTTGATGTCATTTTTGTCATTTCTTGTTTTGCTTATTTATGATCTATTTCTGGTTTGTTTCAGTATTGAAAAGCCAATAAAGATATTCCAGAAACCAATGGGCGCTATTTTTCAAAATTGATGTTGCGTTGCGTTTCCCAGTGATGCATCATGTTCTTAAAACATGAATAGATTCAATTTAAAATAATATTTTTCTAAATAAAGTTCAATTTAAGTAACATTAAAATAAAGTATAATATTGAAACATTCAGAAACATAAATACAGCTCATAAAGGCCTTTCACTCACTATGTTTTCTATTTTTCTAACACACTCTAATAGTCAATATTAGGATTATTATAAGAGGGATGTGTGGTTATAATGTAGTGAGATGATTGTATTGCAGGGGTTTTAAGAAGCTGGGTTTGGGGGATCACTGTCCCCAGAAAAACTCAAACCTAATTGTGTAAATCCACAGTTCTCCGACAGCAGTACTTATGGTCGACTTCTGTATTTCACTTTTACGTGCTACGGTATATTCTATCCATGTATTATTGTTGTTATTTTCGTTACTAGTAGCAGTATTATCTTAATGTGTTGCCGTTATGACAGCAGCAATGTGAGTTTCTCCTTTGTAAAGGGGTCCGCCGGCCTTCCGAGCAGGACCGCGGTGTCGGTGAGACTGATTACAGCCCGTTCATTTCCGTTAGCGAAGTAACCAGCAGGCGTTTTTCATAAATAAACGGGCGGATAATTTTCACGGGAGCGATAGTGACATCCCGACAGGCGGCTGTCAGGTATGGTTGATCTAATAGCGAAGGAGGGGATCTTGCCACTTGATTTCGGAAAATGCGGAGTTACAGTACACTGTATCTCCCTATATTTGGGATGGAGAGGCTGGGAGGCAGGCGATCTTTTGTTGCTACTGTACGTAATTTCAAAATCCATCCCTAACTGTTCTTTGGTTAATGATTTACGGTACGTGACTCGTGAAACGAGGGAGTACATGTTACCGACTGCATTTGTAAACTAACATGATCCCAGGCCCCTGCAAAATAGACAGACGTTACTGTACCGGGACAGCGTTTCATTTGACTGGTACAAGGTACAGAGATGCTGTCAGGTGAGTGACAATTCTGCCCATTCAAGTCGCCCTCATCTTTAGTCTGTCGCTCTCCCATAACTAAAGAGTTCATAGACTTTATCCATTAAACCTAGTCGAGAAGCAGTTCTCCCAACTAAAGCCAGACAATTTCTAATGTTCCTCTTAATGTCCTCCTCATTAGGAAATCGTATGGGTCCGCGTGCCTCTCCCTGCCCCAAGGGCTGATCCTGATCTTGCAGCCTGTGTGCCCGCAGATCGCCCTGTGGGACTTGGGTGCTGTGCCCAGCTCGGCAGAGGCCAGCCTGCGTAGAAGATGAGCAGAAAATCCAGGGGTTGGTTCCTGTCACGCTCCTCCAAGCCCAAGGATAAGAGCGAGGAGGAGACGATGGCTTCTTTGGACCTCAAGCTGGATCTTCTCTGGTACCGATAGCAGTCCTCAGATACGTATATATGGAGTGTGAGGGGGGGGTGTCCATCTTATTTTAGAAGGGCAGTGTACAAGTGTACATTTACAGCAATATCCAAGACTATACCTTATTGGTCAGTATGCTTAAAACATTTCACTTGTCTGAAACGTCTGTGCTCAAGCTAGTCCAACAAACCCAGCTTGGTTGATGCGCAGAGTTTTTGTTGTCTGAGCACAATCAGGTTGTCTTAAGTATCTGTTAGTAAGGTAGATCAGTTTTGATATTGAGAGCACAATCTCAGGCATGGACAAGGGAAACTGCATTGAGCCACTATTTGTAGTTCTCCACTGTGCTGTTAATAGGGTTAATCTGGTCTGTGCATTGTTCGCAGTTATTCTTTTTCTCCCATGTCCTTGACCTTGCATTTAGCCCTGCCAGTTAAAGCAGGAGGATGGAGCGTAAATGAGGTGGGCTCTATTTGGCCACAGCCTGGCATGAAGTAGAAAGTGCTCTACATCATGTCCAGCATCTGTAGCTCAGGCTCATTAAATAGTAATGATCACTCAATTATAACTCCTTCTTTATCCCTCACATGCTGCAGTCTCAGGAGTGACCCTTTCCTGTTGTCTCCTAGATCATGTCTTGACTAAAGGCTTTTTTTGCAGCTGTCACAAGGTGCAGGACTCCCTGCTGAGCTCAGCCAGTAGGTTCACTGACTATCGAGGGATATTCAACTGGTGTGTCATCATGCTGGTAGGTCAGAAGCGTCCTGTTCCTACCAGGTGCCTTGTCTACCATCGGTCTGGCTCAGACGTCAGCAGGGACATGTGCTCAGAAAGGGAATGCTGGCCAAGGCCACCCGTTTCTCTTTGAGCATCTTGAGAAAGTCCACAGTCTGACCTTTCCTGCCGGGTGAATCAGAATTATCTGGTGCACCTCAGAAGAATGGGGCTGTTTCAGTGGCTTTGTAATTGTAACAATCCAGTGGCAATGCTGGCTGTGTTGATGAGCACTGTGCGCAGCTGAGCGATGTGCTGTTAATAAGACCTCATAGAGCAATGTTCTGCCTAGAGGGAAGTTGGTGAATGCAGCTTCTAGACAGACACAAGGATACTTAAGAGGACAAGCCATAGGCCCAATCTTGCCTGTGAGAATAGAAGAGATGCAAAATTATGCTCTGGCTATTTTGTGGAGTATTCCAAAGAGCCAACTTTAACACCATCACTAGCTCATTTGTTACAGACCCTCTCACCAAACACACTCGCATTTAACTAGTGTTGGTCTGCATGAGGTCTTGTTTTTGTTGTGGAGCTTGAAGTACTGCAGACTGACAACCTATGGTACACGTAGATTCTTGTAAAGTGCCTTTATTCAAAGTCAAATCCCTGTCTGTGTGGTGTTTTATAGGTACTCACTCATGCCCACCTGTTCCTAGAGAACTTCATTCAGTAAGTGCACAGGTTTTACAATTTGTTCTACCTTCTGCATTGTGTGAGTATTACAGGTACAGTTCAGAAGAGCAATTCAACTACACAGAACTGTACTTGGCCATGTGGTTTAACAGCTGTCTGTATGCCTTTAGTCTTAATTCGTATTGTTCTCATTCAAAATAAGATAAGATAGATAAGATCACTTTATTGGCCATATACAATTTCTTGTATGAGGAATTTGTCTTTTTCGCACCCCAGCTTGCTCTTCATGAGACACACAGACAAAGAGAGTAGCTTGGGGTCAGAGTGCAGGGTCAGCCATTTATAGGGACCCCTGGAGCAGTTGGGGTTAAGGGCCTTGCTCAGGGGCCCAACTGAGTAGGATAACTCTGCTGGCCCCAAGATTCAAACCAGCAACCTTCCAGCCACAGGCACAGATCCTTAGCCACAGAGCCACCGCTCCGCCCAATAGTGCACAAAGGCTTAAATTGTACAATTTGGAAAAACAGAAAGACTCCACCTTTCAGCTTTATTTTGTTGGACTTGAAAGCAGTCAGATTCTCTCTTACTGCTGCGACATTTCATAACAAGAACTTCCTTACCTTGAAAAACAGGGACATAGTAGTCCTAATAACACCACTGTCATTTCCCACACAGACATGGCTTCCTGGTGGACCTGAGGAAGGTTCTCAGACTTCTGGTGGAGGACGGTTATAACTGGCCTTCCGTCTACCTGATCCTCGGTAAGCCAGGCTGAGAGACAGGCTTGCTTTCCTTAGATTTGAAATTGCCAGTTGTTCTGAGACCCCCCTTTCTGGAAAATGACTCTTGTACCCACACATGAGGAATTAGAACCTGCTAATATGTTTTGCTGAGATGCGTACCTGTTATGTTAGAGATGTTAGAAAACACTGTTAGAAAACTGTGTTTTTTTTTCTATCTGCTTCTCTCTGCTCCGTACTGATTCTTCTGACAAGGTGACCAGCTGGCATGATAGCAGAGCACAATGTTCTTGATTGTTAGACCTATGCTAGCTAACAGTAAAGGGTGACTAGTAAACCTGATCTCTAAGTTTGGTCACCTACCCTGGTTTTCCAGGCTCTTATTATTTTTACAGGTATCTTTAAATCTCAATGGCTAATGGCCAAGAAACGCCAATCAGCTTAGCTCATTCTTCAGGTTGAAGTACTGTGATTGATTTCCCAGGTGGCAGGGAAAACGGAAAGCCCTGTGATTCTAATGCATTAGAAGTTTTTACTATAGAGCTACTATTTTAAAATATTAAATACAATTTTTTTAAATATTCGTATACTTTATATACATGCAGGTGAGATATCAGAACACTGGACACTCAGTTTGGTCATTCATATCCTGCTGGACATAGAGCCTCCTTAATGAAAACCATTAATTAATCTCTTCCAGAGACAGGTTGACCACATAATCTGCAGTTCCAATGGAATTCTCTTCAAAGAAGATAGACATACTTTATTTAAGAAATCGCGATACCTACACTGCAAAGAGATGACTAGACAAGCTGAATGAAGAGATTTGAACCCTTTGCAGTAGTAAGCTGGCAGTAGTTAAAGCTCACCAACTAAAAAAAAAACTTTCTGGTCTTTTAACAGTTTCCAATGTGTTTGTGGCCACAGCTCTGTTGATTGAGAAGTGGCAGGAGCAGGTAAGTCACAGATCCTAACTCGTTTATACTGAGCAGGGGGCAGGGAAATTAAGACAAAAACAAGTCTGCGGTCCTTGTAACGTCTGGAGATGAGAGACTGGGCTTGACTCACACCTATCCGCCAAATGAACACGATGAGCTGAATGGCATCTCCCCATTTTAACTTCTTAGATATTGATAAAATAACAGGCTCTTCATGCCACCGTAGAGCAGAAGCAATGCCAGGTATTCTTATTGTTTGAAGATTGCACGCTATGGGGGCCTTAAACTGGAGTTTTTTCTTATCCACTGGGAGACACTAAAGCACTACCATGAGTGAAATGGTTTAATGACTCCATGACTGTTCTTGTGGGAAAGTCATTGCTTGGCCCAGTTTATCAAAGTCATTAGCAGAAGAGATGTCAATCTCAATGTGGACAGTGGTCTGCAGATGTCCAAAAGACACTAAGGGCTCACTGATGGACTCATACCAGGCATTAATGCCCAGATTCTTTGCTCCAAGTTATGTAGAAATAAGAAATCTGAAGTACTTCTTAATGTGCCTGCATTTATTTTTGTTTAACGTAACTTTGATGCATAGCTGGCTCAGTGCTGCATACTGTACCTTGAGAGATGTGGGATGTGTGCTGTCATCCTCTCCTTCTCTTGATTCTCCAAGCTGCATGGTGCTAACAGTGTCAGAAGGACTCCAGAACTGTCCCTTAGCAATGTGTTTTCAGAAGAGTGCTTATTAACTTGATTGGTCTCATCTCACCTTATAGTGAAAACTGTACACAAACAGACCCATAGGCAACACATGAGAGGGATACTCACAGCTCACACTAGAGGGCACTAGCGTCGCACTGGTGACCATGAAGCAATGAGTGCAAGCCATCACAGACACGAATACGGCCACTCCGGGGCAGCCATGAGCAGAGGATGATCCTCTCCTTGGGCACAGCTGTATCTCTGCACAGCTTTCACAGCAGAGTCTCTTGAGGCGGCCAGCTGGCTGCATGAACTCTTTCAGGCGGGTATGTGTTGTTTCCTCACAGGGCTTCCTATCTCAGAGGACTGGATGGGTCCTGGAGGCAGGAAACCTGCTTGTGTTGATGGTGTTTCCCACAGCAGTCATCCTGCACAAGTCCACCTCCATTTCTGTTGGTGAGGAAGAGCGGCCTCCTTCTTCCTCCTCCTCCTGCATGTGAACTGGGTTTAGCAGCCAGCACTATTGGCAGCAAAGCTTGCAAAGCAGCTTTTCTTGTACTGAATAGACCACACTTCTACTGTATGTCCCACAACCTACTCTAAATGATTTTTACGAGACTCTTCTGTGTGTAAACAGTATAAAGGTGAATTTGTTAATGAGTATACATCATTGTCTCACCTGCAAGTCCACCAGCTGAACAATTCTAAATAGTGCTGTTGCACTAGAGAAAAAAAACTGAATATATTGATACCCACAGAAATGTTACTTTCATGGTGAGGACTAAAAACATCTCTCTCTCTCTCTTTTTCCAAGTGGGGTCACTGCTCTCTCTGTGCTTCTACACTGTCCTCACCCTCAAGATCTATTCTTACCATGATGTGAACAGCTGGTACCGCCAAGGGCAAGTCGGAAACTCAGGTCTGATTTGATCTTTCTCTGGCTAAGGTCAATGCAAAAAAGCAACAGGAAACTGACCTTTCAATCCATTGAAACGTATTGACTGATCTGCTGCTGCTCTCTCATTTGAGCAATCAGTACAAACAGGTGTTTTGTGTCTGGTGCAAACAGAGGTGCCCATATATGGGGCTTTCATGGGAGGGGATAAGACTAATGTGCATTGCACTTTAAAAATAAAGGAAAATGCTGCAAGAATGGATATTGATTGTTCCACCTCAAGCAGAAAGAAATAAAGAACGCGATGCATCTAAGAGAAGGAAAGAATTCCATGCACATACGACGTAACAGCACTTTCAGTTTTATTTTTAGGCCCTCAACAAATGCAAACATAACTTTATTGGGAATTTTTTTTTTCGGGAAAAGGAATGATGTCAAAAGTAATGTATGTTCAGATCCTCTCCCTGATTAGCAGGCAAAGTACAGATGATAAAACCGTGGCTTCTGGGATCTGTGCTATGTGGTTGATCACTGTTTTCAAGGGTCGGCAGAGATGAAGGAGGAACAGGAGGACTGTCCAGGAAGGAGGGAGTATCGAGACTGCCTGACGCTGAAAGGTACAAGAACTGAGCTAGACCTGGCCATCCTGATAGTGTTGTTTTCATTTAGGTGCTGCTGCCTTAGTATTTAATTGTTCCAATGATAGGAGGTGTCACAGGAGGTCCTCTTTTCCCAAGCTTCCCATGTGGGTTGTGGACCCAGAACTGGAAACGTGATTAGTGCAGGGGCAGGAGTCTCCACGCTGTTGTGCCCGTGAATTAACACGGTCGGGGTTTGAGGTCTCTGGGGTTTGGGCCGTATTTGTAAGTGAGGAATAGAAAGAAAAGACAGAGGCCAGCCAAAACGCAGCACAAAGTGATACTCGACCATGTCATACATAGTCAGCCCTGTGCGACATCATGCGGTTGACATACAGTACAGTTGCAGTAAAAGGCCTTCAGCCGTTACAGGTTATATTTGAATCCGATGCGGTCAGAGGCCTCACTCTCAGTGCTGCCTGTGCGAGACCTCTGCTTTAGTGTTCATATGAACAGCGAAGGCTAGTGTGGAAGAAGTGTCTTTAGCACGTGTAGACTGAAGCCATACAGTTGACTCTCAGTAGTGATGCTTCTCAGAGTGCTTCACTGATAGGCACTGTTGAACTCTCAATTGCAAAGAGATGAGATAGAGTATTTCTTATTTTGAGCAGGTACCCATCATATCCCGAACTAAAGACATTTCCCTTGATTTCACATAAGGGAGAATGCACCCACAGATCAGTACTCAGCACTTGAAGGAGAAGCCTGTATTACTCAGCTAAGTGACTCCTTCATCTACCAAACCGCAGCTCTGCTGACTCTGACTCTCACTCTTTCAGATCTGTATTATTTCCTCATGGCTCCCACTCTGTGCTACCAGCTGAACTTCCCTCGGACTCGAACCATCCGCAAGAACTTCCTCTTTCAGAGGCTCTTGGAAATGGTGAGGTTTGGCCCTGGCCCATCTCCGGACACAAAAAGGAAATATTGACTTTATGTATGTTTAAAGAATACGACAGTTTATTCTTTTATACCATGAAAAAAACAGCTGGAGGAACAATTGCATCAGAAGTTGAGAAATCAGGGGCTTGTTAGTTTTGTTTTTGCCAGGATTTGCACACAAAGACAAAATGGCAAAAGGGCTAACTGCATTTTCTCCTTATAAGATGAGATCTAAGCAAGGTTTCCTGGTGCAGTACCTTCTGACCCACTTTCCCCCTCCCGGTAAACAGAACTTGGCACGTGGCTCCAAACAGTAAGCCGTAGAGCTGGGCTATAAACACAAAAGTACATTCTGCCCCATGTGCCGCTGTGAAAGCATAGCAGGAGAGCAGGGCTGAGGGTGGGGGAAGCCAGAAAAACACAGCTATTGTTTCTCTGTGCTGCGTTGCTGTCTGGTTTTCTTTTTTTGCTTTCTGGGAAAGAAATGTTCAGAAGTGGCATCTGCCTTTTAGAAGTGAGGACTCCCATGTGGCTCAATCACCAGAGCTGCTCACTCAGATTATGGGCGGTGCCGTCGGCGGAGTTGCTTGAGATGTCCCTGGGGGCTGTGCATACAGTAGCTGCCCAAGGCCCACGGGTTCGGAGTGTAGCTCTGGCAGCTCCCTGTGTGTGCCTCGGGTTTATTTTTTATTTTTTCAGAAAGTACCGTCCTGATGTTTCCAGTCTTTTCCTATGCGGGTCCTGTTCTTGACAGGGTAGCTTTCAGATGGCTGTTCACAAGTGAATAAATGCAGTTTCCTCAACACATACCTGTCAGGATGAATGAAGAAAAGAGCAGTCAGAGTCACGTCTACCCACACGCGAATAACTCGGATCAGTTCTGCCAACAATCAATGACAAATGGAAAAAAAAAGTCTGTGTTTAATCGCCTCTGCTCTTTCTTTTTCAGCTTATCCTGATCCAGCTGATGGTAGGGATAGCTCAGCAGGTAAGGGCCCTGATCTTTCCTCCAGGGCCATGGATGGGTTGTTCCTCAACTTCAAGAGTGTTTAACATGGGGGCTCAACAGACTAATAATAAAGCAGAAGGGTGTGCATATTTAATTATTAAATTACATGTTACTTAAGGCCCTTGAGGTAGCCCCTGTATTTTAGGTTGCATCCAGCAGGGGGGGTCCTTCAGTTTCTTTCCCAGGAGTCTGCTGTAGATTCATGTATTTTTCTTGTCTCGTAGTGGATTGGGCCGATCATCCAGAGGTCAGAGTGCACCTTCACAGTAAGTCACCGCAGGTGTCCGCTGCAGCCTGCTGGGCTTTCCCAGCCCCTGTTTCTTCCTCACGTGCAGCTGCTCTTATCAGTATTCCCCAGGAGATGCCCTTGTCAGCTCCCAGCTTCCAGACAACACACTGGAAAGGGAAAAGGATGAGGGAGGAGGGACACTGTGTCTGCAGTGAGGAGTTCCTGCCCTTCAGATCAGTGTGTAGGCTGGCCAACACTGCATTTCAAACACCCAGGACAGTTTTCGTAGAATAGCCTCAGGTGGTTGGAGTATGAGATGAACAGTGCCGCCATACTGATCCAAAAGTCCTTTTTAAGTTAATTCAGCAATGTCATATGAATCAACTGGAAAACCTAGGAGTGGGTGTTCAGGGTCTGTTGGCTGGTTAGCCCCTGGAGGTGAGTGCTACCTGGCCTCACCAAGGTGCCATCAGTCTGCAGAGACTGTGTACAACACTTTTATTTTAGCTGAGAAATAAAACACTGCAACATGGGTATGTTGTGCCTTTATGACATTTATTTTTCAGAAACACCAAAATTGTCGAAACAAACCAGTGGCATAGTACGGCCATTTAACTGGATTTAGAAATACGTCCCCTTACAACAGTTCAAACTAATTGCTGTCAGTTGGAAGAAGTCATTACCTGTTAAAAGCATTGTTTGCTGTTTTTCCTTTCCTATTTAGAGAAATATTTCACAAACAAATAACTGAAATTGGGAAAAGGGCCTATTTAAAATCCTATTGAAACATGTTTTCAAATGTTCAGACATACTAAAGGGGTAAATCCAATTTATTTTCTAACTACATGAATTTGTCTCCTAAATAATAACTCGTTACATTTTGAAGGTTAAAGTCAACTCATCAAAAATAGAAGATTAGTTTTGTTGAAGCCACCAATCAATATAGCAAAACTATATATTTAATTGACAAATAAAAGACTAGTTTAAGTCAGTGACCACGAAATATGTACCACAGACACAAAGTATAATGTGTGTATAACATGCACAAGAACAAGTTGAAGGTCAGGAGAGAAGAAACAGGAATTAAAAAAAACACCAAACATTTGGCAACAGTGATATAAATTGTTTTTGTAATTTTTCCACCAACCAAGAGCATTCCAAATAAAATCTCTCTCCACCTGCCCTGTTCTTCTCAGCTCTGAGATGCTGGAAAGGCTGAAGGTTAACTTTCTACAAACTACAAAGACAATAAGGATGCGAGAAACACTGATCTCTTATGGCAATCTGAGAGTCCTTCTCATCCTTTGAATCCCTGTGAGATTTTGTCTCCTCCATAGGTATAGTTAAATGGTGTCTTAGTCTGTGTTCCTCAAAGAGAAATGTATGTAACACAACCACAGGCAGAAAGGTCTGCCGATCACACTAAATAAAGAAAAAAAATAATACTGTTACACATAACTGTGCAGAACTGCTCTTTGTTGAGCCATGAAAAATATTGGACTGGATCTCAGGTAATGGAAAACAACCAAGAACTCCTGTGTGGTGTCAAACCATGCCGGAGGGTGTGGACCCAATTGCTGGCGGAATCTGTAGGCAAGGAGGTTTTCATCCAGTGATGGATCAGCAGAAAACGATTATGCAAGGGGGTGGGAGACTTCTATAGTCTAGAAGATACCCAATAAAATCTACTGACTGTATCTTCTAGAGTCCCATAAAGCAGGATGACTAGGATGCCTCCATTGCCTTTGGTTATATCCAGCCACATTTTTAAGTTCATGACAATTTAATTTGTGCGTTGACATTCAAGCATAAAACAAGAAGTTCTGAATTGAAATTTGACTCTGTGTCCAGTTGATTTTGTATCTGAAGTTACGGTGGTCTCCTTTTCCCTGACCTGTTTCAGAATATGGATACCACTGCAAAGATTGAGCATCTGATGGAGTTGGTGGTGAGTCCTCAGTACTGCCTCTGTAGTTACTCTTCTTTATTCTCTTTTTAATAATTTTTTCCTTTTATAAAGATTCTGTCAACATTTCCTGTTGGCTGTTGTGCTATTCAAAAAACAAAGAGAGTCCAGGGAAATTATTGCTTTATCTGGAGTGCTCACTCCTCCCAATTCATTTACACCTGGCAGCCCGTTGTTTCTGAATGAACACTGTTTGGTCTCGCAACTTTGAAGTTAACCGGTCCTGACGGTGGCCTTTTCTTACAGGCACCCAATCACTTCCTCTGGCTCATCCTGTTCTACCTGCTCTCTCACTCCTGCCTCAACTTCATCGCCGAGCTGCTGTGCTTTGGAGACCGCGAGTTCTATGGGGACTGGTGGTAAGTGAGCCCCGCCGAGCTAGGAGGAGGGTGTGGTAACAGTCCTTTAGAGATGTGACGTGGTTTAGTTAAACGACAAGATTAATCTGGTCCCTCTTTGAGCTCATCTTTTAATTTCATGTTTGTTCTTTTTGATCAATAATAGTTTCTAACAACCCATTGTGCTGAGCATTGCTCACCATGGTTTTGAAGCACTAACGATTTCTTTTAATTGGATTAGTGGCCAAAAACAGGCTACAGAAAATCCAAAAGAAACATGAATGCCTGCCATGTGCGAACTTTTCCATCCAACTTCCTATGTGCCCTGCTCAGTGAGTAATGGTGCTGTCTGTCCACCCCAGGAATGCTGATAACCTGAAGGCCTTCTGGAGTAAATGGAATATTCCTTTCCACAAGTGGTGTTCAAGGTATGTGCAGACATGCTCCCGATCTCCCATCTGCAACTTTACAGCCCATAAGTCAGTATCCTTACACCTATAGATGAATGCAGATGTGATCTGTATTTCATTTGTCTCAATCTGAAAATTACCTTTTTATTGAGAACTAGGCATAATAAAGAGCCCCGCACTGTTAAAATTCACCCCCCCCCCCCCCCCAACAGTGCTGGAGCGGAGCAGTTGTCCAGAAATTGTCCAGTTGGGTACAAACCTCAGCCTGATGCCAGAGCAGGTCTTTCAGATGCAGGCTCATGTGTGCCTGTTATAGTTTGTGCTTGGTGTTGTGCTTCACCAGGTGTATGTCAGGGCTGCTAAGGTTAACACTGGTGACCTGTTAACTAGTATTATTCCTGTAGTAGATGCTGTTTTTGTGAAATCATGCCTTCTAATAATTCTGTTCTTCTAAAAACATCTGCACAGACGGCATCTCTTTCCAGATAAGGCATTCTGTTATAGACCTAGGCATTCAAAGAATTTCCTGGATTTCGGGACAGCATTCTGTCTTTTTATCAGAGATACAAAATCCAGTTGGTGTTGGTTTAATCCTCTCACTGACCGGCAGTGAGAAAGTACAAGCTCTGTAACAGTCCTGCTCTCCTTAAACCTTATCAGATACCTGAGAGATCTCCATGTGCTTCTCATCCTCTGCCTTCAGAGTTTCTGGTTGATCTTATTTCCCCACCTTTTGACAGACAGAATCACATACAGTACTGTAACAACACCATGCTTTGTTTGAAAAGTATCTGTGAACAGCTAACATCACAATAATGAATCCAGTCATTTCTATTTCACAAAGCTTCTTTACTTGGTGTGCTCCCTTTCTGTGAGTTGCATTACAGAACCGAACAGTCAAAGGCAGACAGAAATGTAAAACAGAACGGGAAATGAAGAAATTATCTGTAAGAAGTAAAGAGTATTTATAAACAACCACAAGTTAGAGGACATTTTACAAAATGTTATAAAACAGTAAAAAATGTCACATGGTTGCAGCTTGTGAGCTCCCATAATACAAAAGCAAGGGGTAGCAGCATAGGATTATTCCACTATATTGTCACTATATTGTGACATATGGTCAGATATCAAATTAAAGGTAGAGATATGCAATTGCAGCAAAGCTGGAAGTGTGTGGTCACGTGCTGGGTGATGACCTGCTCTCCTCTGTCCGCCAGGCACCTGTACAGACCCCTGCTCCGGAGGAGACTGGCCCCTCAGCACGCAGAGCTGACCGTCTTTGTGATGTCTGCGGCCATGTGTGAGGTACCACGCCCTGGGGGACCGGACATTCATCCACAACTCTCTCCACCTGCCCAAAACAAACGACGTAATGGAAAGACCATTACAGTTCTGACCCTGCATTTCACCTGATTGCTTTTTTTCTGCCTTCTCGCTTTTGCAACATCGTGCTGTCCACCGTGCACGGGGAAAGAACAGTCTGTGGATGCAGGAGATCATTCATGTCAGGAATCTTCGGTGTGCAGGAGCTCGGACATGTCTAAATCCCTAGGAATTGTTTAGATACTAATGCGTCACGGCACACTAAATAGCATTTTTTTCTATTGATTTGTGAGCAGGTGATATTCCTTTGATGATGTGTGTTGTTCTATGAGAATGAGTTATGGGTCAGCTAGATCAGGGGCACCAAAGGGATACAAAACTGTGTACCTGTGCATTTTTATACAAGTCATTCAGTGCTAAAGATTGTGTGAAGAATAAGGTAGTTATATAATAGTTATAATTAATGATAATTAAGGACAGGAGCATTGTGTTATTTGAACATATCAGTTTCATAAAGGAATCTTATCATGTTATATTATATAAGAAATCTAACCTGGAACTGTAGATGTGGACCCACAAAGCTTCCTGCACCCAGGAGATTGCTCTCTTTATTCTGAGGCAAATGGTTGGTTCAGTCTCTTTCACGTCTGTTGTGGCCTCTCCTGAAATCCTGTTCAGTTTCAGGTTTTTCATGCCAAGGTAACAAAAGACTTGGGGAATCACTGTTCTTGGTCTGTAAAAAAAAAGAAAAAGAAAACCATACTTCACAAGAATCAAAAAAAAAAAATCAGCTTAACAAACACAACTTAACAAAACGACAACATCAAGACTGTTGAAGCTGAATATTGGCACTGATCTGTTTCTAATGGCTGTTGTTTCAGTAGTAAGTGGATAACTGTCCTGTACTGGGTAAAGATTTTTAAGTCTCAGGGAAGAGTTTAAAGTGTTTTTTATAGCTTCATGATACCTGCTCATCTCAACATGAATCACATGTTGACCTTTACATTATGACTTACAGTACCATGGATGTAGAGAGGCAGAACTCCAAAGTACATGGTTTAACAGCTTCTGATATGGATAACATGGAATTTCTGATTAAAAAGAGTGGATTTCATGTAAGGGCATTAAAGCTACTCTTGCATTAGTGAATTTCCATGATCTGCATTGTTTGGATCAGAGACGTGTCTTTCAGCTGACTGAACTGTTCCTTATTGTCATTCAGTTCACCTGACCTCAATCCAGACCTCAATCCTCCCTCTCTGTCTGATATTGTACTTCACAGTTCCTCATTGCTGTACCTCTGCAGATGTTTCGCCTCTGGATCTTCATCATCATGATTCTAGAGGTAAGATCTGAATTTGCTTGATAAATCAGGTGTTACTCTTTGTACTGGAATTTACAGACTTCTCCAGAATGTAGTAAAAGCCTTATATCCTAGCACATGTGCAAATTGTCCTGCTTGTCCCTGTGACTGTCATTGACAAGTGACTGCTCTGAATTTGTCCATTGATCCAGGGTGTTTGTGGTACAGGCAAACACCCTGCTCACCAGTCCACCCTCAAACTGCCTTTGACTAGTGCCAAACAGCTCAACAGACATGCCTATAAAGAGCACTTGATTAGATTTGATCATCTGTTTTCATGTCTGTTGTCCATTCCTGTCTTATTGTCCTTTTGCCTCATCTCAGGAAAGATTTCTGAGCAGCGACACCCCCCTGTGACCACTGTGTGTTCATGTGCATCTTGAGGTTCTAGCAGAAACATTAGCCCCTGTACTCTAACGCAAAGAAATTACACAGAGACTCACTTTGGAACCGTTTCCATTGTCAGAAGTACTTGTTTCACAAACTCTCTTTGGGATCTTGCATTTTAGCACTGTGTGAAAAACCGTGCTATGATCTGATGAAAGGAGTATCCTTTCTTAACTAAAACATTAACATGTTTACATGTATGAAATACCCATCTTGTCCTCTGTTTTCCTAATTATGTCTGACACTGTATGTAAGGCTGTTTATGCAATCAGACAGCTTACTGTGCATGTTTTCCTTTGTAGTATGTCTGCTTCACATATTCTTTCATTTCTTGAAGGTCAAACCACAGTGCCTCACTCCAGAGTCTTGTCTCCCCAGATCAAAGTGGCGTACTTCCTGGGGCACTATTTCACAGGGAACTATGGCAACGGCATGGTGTGGCTCTGCATGCTCCTGGGCCCTCCCATCGCGGTCATGACCTACTTCCACGACTACTACATCCTGAACAAGGAAAACTCCTCCTGGACGCTTATTTTACCACCACTCTAGACCACCAGCTCTGTGGGAAACCCGGCCGATTAAAGGCTTCTCCCCTGGAGAAAGCAATGCCCCGTCTCGTCTAGCGTCTGCCATGTGTGCTCTTCTGCTCTGTAACTATGGCTTCTGGATTCAGTGTTTTGCCATTCTTATGCTCCTTTAAATGTTTGCTTGACACCCATTTAAGTCATTGATGTTAATCCTGATTCCAAATGCCATACTTGTTAATAGTCAAATTGATGTAACTGATGGGCATTCGCTGCCTAAGATCTGAACTGTCATTCAAAATCAGCCCTTGTACTTTTTACAGGAGAGCAGGGGTGCAAAGCACAGCAGTCTCATTATTCACACATGGGAGAAACGGGCAGCACTGTCTGAAATATGGCCTGCACTGCAAGGACTGCAGTGAACTGAAGCTCGAGACAAAAGGCACTCACTGGTATTAGCACAAGAAAAATGAGAAGTTGTTTTATTTAAGCACATTTCTGGGATAAATTGCAGTCATGATGACCTCTGTGAAACGTAGTTGATTGTGTATATTCTACGGCTGTTGGAGTCAAGCTTCTTAAGACATTGGGAAGATGTGAAATGGGACTTTTGCCAGTCACTGGATTATTAGAAAACTGCATCCTGCAGAGGACCTTTGTCTGGGTTACCTACAGTCATGGACTGAGCAGCAGTAGGTCCCAGTGTGCCTCTGTGACAAAAGGCATCCTTGGGGCTTCCATTCCAGTCTGCATCACGTGTTTATTCCAGATCATCCTTGATTTATTAAAGAGACTTCAGCTCATGGATCAATTTAGCAAGTAAAGGCCAAGTCAGTAATGAGGCTCTTACAGCCTGGACCGGAGGAGTCAAGGCTGCCTACCCCTGGTATAAGACAGAGATCCTTCTCCCAGGGTTCCTTGGGGAGCTACTGCTTTGTAACTTTTTGTAACTTTAAAGGTAACTTTAATCCTTATTGACAGCTGCTGTGGGACCAGCTGTGTACTTAACCTATTCATCAAAGAAATAAAGAGCTCAGAATGAAGAATAACCAGAACAGCTGTGATTCTCTATGACAGGGTCATAAAGTCCTGGAGGGCCACTGTGTTTACAGTTTTTCTAAGCCTCTTTAAAGAACCAGCACCCAGGGGAGGGGTTGGTACTGTACATTGGTTAAATCCCTTAATGAGGTGGTTTGGATTGAAGAGAAATTATTTGGAATGAAAATCATTGCCATGACCTTCCTGGATTTGAATCCGACATCCCTGCATAATGAGCAGCGTTTGGATTAAACCATGTCTTCGTCCCATCTTCCAAATATCTCATGAGGTACTCTATTTTCCATGGCGTAGACACTAGAGACTTGTTTTCATTTAATGTAGACCCAGTAGGGAGTACCAGTTAAACGGGGGCAAATTTCCATGACAAGATTTTGTTTCTAACTCTATGCTGTCACACGATGAGGTTCCCAGAGATTTAATCGGTAGACATTGTCATGGTCTCAGCTGTCCTTTTGACATACATTAGGAAAGGTTACCAAATTAGCGAAATTTAACGAAACGGTGAACTAGAGGATCTGCAGCAACACTATACATAACAACTCCGGATTCCAGTCTCGTTTTTGTTAAAACTGAGGGGTCCCTACTAATACCACGGAATAAAACGAAGAATCATATTCCAGCCAGGGACGATCGGGCTGCACTCCGCTGTTTCCCGAAAGGCTTTGCGGCTCTCCAGCCAGAGTCATGTGACTCTGACATTGAGGCGGAAATGAAAGTTAACTAGAGGCACCGGAGCTGAGCAGGAGCAAGGTACGCCAGAGCTTTTGGAAATTGTATTTCTCTACCGCGATAAGCTTCCCTTCTGTCTGGAGCCGGCTTTCTCCAAAGTGACACCTTTTCTCTTACGGAGGGTCAGATTACTGAAGCTTGTTTTGCTACCGTGCTGAGAAGTGCTGCCTGCTTGCTTGTGGTTTGTGTGTGTTATTCTAGTCCGGATACGTATTGGTAACAGACAGCAGCGTTTGTTTTGTTCCCATTCGCGATACAGGGGAAACGCGGGGCTGACGTGCTCATATGGGGGTTCAGTCTGCAGTGCCCGGGGGTGTCCAGGGTTTGTAACGTACGCTAGAACAGAGATGCGGTGGGTAGGACTGAAACCCGAGTCGTAGTGATACTGTAGCTCTGTTTCTTCCTTATTTCTCGGAGCACGCAGTTTAAGGTGTGTTTGTTGCCGCATTTAGCAAGCAAAAATGAGGAAACATTTCGCACCGTCTAGTCATGGGGAGTTCGGTGTTGTAACATTCTCTTCTGACTCCTTTTGGCATCCAGAACTATACGACTACAATATTATTCATCTCCCATACCGGAGTTGTCTTTAAAAGGATGGATAAAATTACTGCTTGATTGATTTCCTCGCGTGCAGGTGAAAATGTATCGTACGTAAGGCTGGCGTCTTCCACCTGCGAAGGGAAAATGTAATTTCGTCAGCTGTGCAAAGGACTGCGGTATTGAAGTCTCTCCTGGGTCGTAATACTCGCAGGAGGGGCTGCTTGTACACAAAGCGTCTCTTGAGCGATGGAGGGTATTTCATGGTCAGCAGAGGTCGGTCCTAAGGGCGGCAGGGGAAACAGAAACTAATGCTGGGTTACCCAAGATGTGCCACCATCCCTGTTCTGATCAACAGTCTTCGTAGACAGCATGCTGAAAGACGATTGTTCTGCTGATAAGCCTCTTCAGCTTTCGTCATTTTTTTTAGTCAATCTAATAAATTCTATCTGTTACGGTTTTTGGGCCAGACTCCTTCTTCAAACTTATTGATGGCGCACACAGTGCATTCCCTGCCTTGTGGTAAAGACTTCAAATAACTAAACAAATTGAAGACGCAATACAAAGGGGTATTTCTACCCATACAATCCGTCCAATCACGCAACGCCTAATCCGTAAGTGAGTATTAGGCGGCATTGGTGTCGGAGAGTGTTAATTAGGTCTGTGGCTATCGCTTCCTCACCTGATCTGCTGTCGCATGGCATCCAGGTGCGGTAGCGCTTCAGTGGCGGAAGAAGTGGGGTCCTATATGTGAAGTACTTTATGTGAAGTACATTGGTAAAGCATTCTATTAAAGCAAGGATCTGTCATCCTTGAGCCCGATTCACAAAGGATTGGTAAAACGGAAAACGTATAAAGCTGAAACGTAGTCTGTGTCGGAACAGTGGTAAAAGACAGTGCTTCTGTCACCTGACTGGTGATTGAAAAGCCCAATTGCTTATTTTCCAATGGGACCTAGTTTTGAACAGATGGCACTACAACCTTTTTCGAGCCAGGCTGAAGTTTTGAGTACATTCAATACTGCAGGAGGCTTAACTATAAGGTGTGTGTATTTGATTCACAGCAGGTTTCTTGCATACTGTGTTGATTCTAGTTTCTGTGTATAGCATGAGGTAGTAACAATAAACTTTTTTTTTATGTGTTGCTTTTAATACTGGCTTCTCAAAATCACTTTATAGTAAGAAAAAAGGTGCTCTGTGAGAGAAGACAGCAGAGTTACACGATTACAGTGTGAGTTTGGAATGCAGTAGGAAGGCGAAGGGGCAGACGCAGAACCAATTAAATAGAAGCCCTTCTAAACGGCATGCTAAATATAATATAGAAGATTTTATATCGTTTAAAGGGGGCAGAGCGCAGGCTCTGTGGCTCAGGATCTGCGCCTGTGGCTGGAAGGCTGTCGGTTCGTATCCCGCTGCCGGCAGAGGAATCCTACTCCGTTGGGCCCCTGAACAAGGCCCTTAACCCCAGCTGCTCCAGGGGCATCGTATAAAACATATAAGACCCTGCTCTCTGAGCCCCAAGCCTCTCTCCCTGTCTGTGTGTCTCATGATGAGCAAGTTGGGATATGCGAAAAGACAAATGCCTAATACAAGAGATTGTATGTGGCCAATAATAGTGATCTTATCTTAAATATGAAGGTTTTGAGTCTGAGGTAAGGTAGCCTGTGTGCGCCCTCCGTGGAACGGAGTGCTGATGTGTCCAAAGCAGCAGATTTGTCCAGTTTCCAGTTTACATCCTCTTGCAAGACTGACATAACTGTGGAAAATAAGAAAACATATTGACTGTTTGGTTACTGGCTGCCTGAGGGATTTTCTGTCGATGGAGGAGTTCTTGTGCATCTCCCACTTCTCTAATTTACTAATGATAGTGTTTCTTTGGTGTGATCCTGCACAGCCACCTTTTAACATGGTGATTTGACACATTAGCTCTCGCTGCTGTAGCTCCTCTTGACTCTTGTTACTGCTGTTCCAGAGCTAATTACTAAGAAGCCAGTTGTTGACGTACCAAAGACAAGCCATGTGCTTTTAAAATGTGGTTCCTGTGATACAGAAAGTACTCCCACAATTAAAGTGAGCATTAATTCTCCCATGTATTTTTAGTTCTAATTCTTCTTGAATTATTAGTGCTAATACTATATAGGCCTATGAGTTTGAAGCCTTTCTGGATATCGGCATGCCTGGGATAACACTGCACCTCTATTTTTGTTATGCAAATCCAGATATATCGTATTACTCTAATTCTGCCCTGATCTTTGTGGTCATTGACCCTTGTATTTGAATGGAGGTCCAGTAATTACACTAAATATACATCATTGTGCATGTTATGTATGTTAATTGGATCCATTTAAATCACTGGGCAACGGCTTTATCTGGGTCAAAACCTTTCTGCACCTTTCTGATTTTGTATGGAGGGGGAGGTATGTTCCGTAGTGCCGTCTGCATGACAGGCAACATATTTCGGCAGCACTTTGTGGTTGTGTTCCGAGTCACGTCAGGTTATCCCCTGTGAAATTAGTCACTAAAATCTATGATGTTTGTTGATGTTGGCTAAATAGTTCCCATGCGTTTTGGCTTTGTTAGAATTGGTTACCAAGACCTCCGGTTTATGAGATACTTCAAAGTATGAATAATATTTTCATATTGCCACTGAAATTTGTTGGGCCTTCCAAACCTCAATTTACAGCCAGTGTGTGTCTGTGTGCCAGCCGAATTTGAAGCCCCACATTTGTGCTTTCTTTAAAATGTATACTGAGTGCACGCCCATTTCTAAAAGGTTTTTTCATAGCAGGAGTTCATAATTAGACTTTTGTTTTGGATACACTGGTGGGGTAGGTGGGCTGGATTATTTAATCCACTGCAAATTGCAGAAAAATAAAGGAGTGCATATAGGTTTATTTAATGAGTATAGTGTTGTGTGTGTTTATCAAGTTGTATGAATTACAGATTTTCTGCCATGCATTCATCTTTTAATGTAATGCATTGATTTGTTTGCAAACCATCTTTGCAGTCTTGCGTTTGCTGTTTGCTGGCTCCTGATGAAGTGACTGGTTGGATGAATCGTGTTTATATAGTCCTGGTACTTCATATGCATTTGACCTCCTACAAAATATACAGAAGCTCAGCCCACACATTCAGTACAATGTGCTGCCCAGAAAGAAAGTAATTATCCAGTTTTCTTGCAGTTCTGCTTCCATGGGTATTGCTACAACCTTGTGCATGGCCACCAGCATGATGTGAAAGGCTGAGCTGCAAGCTGGATACCTGTATATAGAAAGAAAGCACTGCAGGCCTATGGAGGTGATTCTAAAGAACTGCACAGCCCTCTAGTCGGCCCACACCTGGAATACTACCTGCAGCTCTGCCCCCACGTTTTAAAAGGGATGTTGAATAGAATATAAAGAGAAACAGCATGGACTAATTCCAGGAGAGAATCTTGATTATAGTCTTAATTCTTTTTTAGTCTTGGTAAGAGTCTGCTCACCGGAGGTGTGATTGAGGCTCATTGTAAAGCTGATGAAGTAGCTGACCCTAGCAACTATTCCAATCAGCACGCAAATACAAGGGCATAACTGGAGACTTATTGTGCACAAAGAATTAAAGACCTAATTATCAAATCTTGCTGAGGAAGCACATGTTCTGGGATCTATCAAAAACTGGGCTTGATGCAGTGATGATCTAGAAGATGGCCAGCTGTGGTGGTTTGAATGGCATACTGTCATCATGTGAGTCTTGGGACTTGGTACGTCTTGGCATTTATTTTTTAAGGTCACAGAATACTGGAGTAAAAAACTCACCAGTCAAAGCTGGTTTAACAAAATGTACTTTAATTGACGTTAACTAAAAGCTTTCCCAGACTGACCAGAGGCTTTGGGGCTTTAAAGTGGTAACTGTTGATTCATTGGCTATTTTGTGTTTGTTAGGGGTAATCTGAAGACTAAAGCTGGCATGACTCACCTGGTGTAGTTCAGAAAGGAAGAAGTGCGCCTCTATATCCTATATGGTGGTGGCTGTGGAACGCTGGCATTTTCTGAAAAATAACCCATTTTGAAGTCTTAATGGGAATTTATGGCTGAGCTATAAATTGTAAAAGATGAGGGACATTGATAAGTTCTCATAGCATGGACAATTATGCATGTTAAAACAAGCAAATGCACATAACCCCTCTAGAATAAAAGGCCTCTGTTTTATTAAACCCCTTTTATTAAATTTTATTAAGAGATATCTAAGCTGGAGCAATGGATCTGGGGCCATGTCCTGTGTTCACAGTTCAAGAGCACTGTTTATACCAGGGGGTTCTTTTGAGTGTAATACCACCCAAGTTATGGCATATTATTTATTTGGAAGAAACATACAGCACAGAATCTTAAATGTTTTTATTAATAAGCAGAATTACACAACATTATATGTTGTACACATCAGCCTTTTTGATGGTTTTGTAATCTGTTGTTACTGTATGTGTTCTTATAGAGTAATTATTGAGAAGGAATGAATCATAATGTACAAGGGGTCATCATTTCAATTCTCTTTTTCTCTGTGGGAGAATAACATGATTCTGTTTGATAATGACCTGCAGGAGTAAGCTGTTCAATTGTTTAGACTTTGTTGATCTAAGAGGGTTTAAAGCAGGGGAGATAAGAACAATCAGATGGTTTAATTAGATTGCCACCTAATTACTAAGAATCCCTGACAGTCTGCACCTAGATGGGGATATCATAGCTACAGATTTAATGTGCAGAAGTGTTTTGGGAAAACTGGACCATTTAACTGTCTTTTGGATCACTTTAGTCTTGTGGCTTGTAAAACCAGGTGTACCGTGGAGGTCCTACTCTTTTACCCATCCATAACTAAAACTGAACTGAAATAAGACTGTGGAAGGAGTGCTAGATCTTTACACTTTGAGGGTAAAGCCCAAGGGTTAAAAATACTTTGAGATGTGTTTGGAAGCAGTCATTCTCTGATTTAATTCATAATCATATTTAGACAATGCTGCAGAATAATAATTAAAATAAGACAAAGCCAAAACGCATGGGGGAAAAAGATATTTATGGCTGCCATCTTGCTAACAGGAACTTTGTCTTGGTGCTTTCAAATACAGTCGCTATCTTGAACCCGAATCCGTTGTCTGGTTTGGTTTTTCCGACTTGAAATTCTAGCTTAGTCCAACAATATTTCAACGCGGGCTGGTAAAAGGTTTTGGATAAAGTGTGATTTGGGGGAATAAAACACTCATTTAATGGTGATTTTCTATAGTGATCCTGTTTCAATATCTGTCTTTAGATTTTCATGTTTTTCTGAATTAATATGAGTGGTAGTTGGCATTGCTGTTGTCCTTGGGTACAGTAATACCTCCTACTACTCCAAATATAGGACTAACTCAAACTTTAACCCTACCCAAATACTGAACGGTACCTTCTTAATCTTCCATCTTCCATTCTTCTTGACATGTGTGAAGAGTAACACCTAAGAGGCTTTAAAGTGGCTCAGTAAACGTGTTTTCTGGAATTGTAGTTTTTGTCTGGAGCCCCAAATATCTTTGTCTCAGGGCTGGACAATGCCACCTCCTGACTTGGATTCTCCAACTGGTGTGGTGCAGTTGGCAGGGAGCCTCTGTGGTATTGTGTTCCTTAGCTGGGCAGGGCCTGCTTGAATTCCAGAGAAACTGCAACTCCAGCATGATGAACACCCGCAGGCCTTCAGTGAGAGAGGTGCCCTTTTCTGCAGTGTGCATGGAGTCTCCTGCGAGCTGCTATAGAGCTGCTCCTCTTCCTGCAGTGTGCTCTGACTCCCCTGCGAGCCGCTGTGGAGCTCCTGCTCTTCCTGTGGCATGCACTGACTCTCCTGCGAGCTGCTCCTCTTCCTGTGGCATGCACTGACTCTCCTGCG